CACTTCTCATGACTTCGCTAGGCTACACCAATACATGTGATGATAATAATAACAGCAATGTATTGTTATACGACTATGATTTTGTTCGAGTGAAGTCAAGGTTACGCAGTGAATTGACTGTTTGATTCTTCCAGAGGGACTTTCGATTCCATCTTATCAGGAATATTCTTATTAATTCTCAAGTGATCTATTAGTGTATTTGGTCAATTATTTATTGCTGTAGAGTATGTACTTTGTACCCGGGAGACTTTTGTACCAGATATCATTGTTGTGGTAGTGTTATACCACAGATTATATCAACTGATAGTGTTCTTTTTGGTATTATTCGAATAATTTGAGCCTGTGCATGACTCGCGGAAGTTTGGCAAGCTATATAGAAGAAAGCATCGATTAGTTACTTGAGTCTGAGTTGAAATACTTGGATTTTAGTCACTACAGTGATCACAAGTAATTATTACCTATAATCCGGCTAATCAAAGACATTCATGTAGACAAGGCTTTTTTTGATTGGACACTAGTCAGTAATTAGTGTAATATGTTGTCTAGTCCTATCTTTGGTGCAGACCGAATTGCAAACGTGACTGACAGAGTTCAGTCTGCACTAACACCAAGAACTAGACACATGATACTGTGGTGAGAGCTGGCTGCTAGCCAAAGTTGGTAGACAGTAATTGACGTCAATGTTTATGTCCCCAATATTGGTAGTGAGAAAATGAGAACAAAGGCTTTGCGTAGGCGGATACAGTTAGCATATGGATGATCTGACACAGCCACAAAGAGATGCAAGGTTAACTTTCTGTGAGAAACAAATAATCAAAAGACTGTATTTTCTACTAACAATAATGTACATTAAAATCTATAAATATGTGTTGATTTTCCTTGATAAACGATCTGTTGCCTGGCCCTTGTCTTCTGTTGTTGCAATACTAGTTACTGACTGTTGTTCAATCAAAAGAAAATCGAATACAGTCCTACAGGAGGTCAGTCACAAGCCTGGTAAGCTCAGTGACGCGTTGATTTCATTGTGTCTTCACTACTACCATTCAAACATTAAAGTATGTTATTGTCATTACTTATGACCAATGAAAATTAAGGTAGCTTGCAGCTGATAATGAGAACCTATACTTTCCTTTCCTTCTTCAACTGTGGTGTGTGCTACTGATAACATTTATCAGTAGTATGTCAAGAGACGTTCATCGGCATAAAAATATTTAAATAGCAGAGAGTGACAGACTTGATGTCAAAGACAGCAAATGAAATAGTGTTGTGGGGAAAAACATGGGAGACGTGAAAGGAATACGAAAAGAAACACGATATGAAGGCCAGAAGTAGCACAACACGGAAGATATGTGCAAATGATAATTTGGGGATAAACTGTACATAATTTCGCTAATATAGAGGACATTCCCTTTCTAGGTCTCTTGTCTTCTGCTGTTATAAAACGAAATCTATCAAGTGAACCGAATGTGTGAAATACGTTTCGGTGTTTGTGTTTTGTAAATTAAAGATTTCGTTGAAATTCAACAGTCCAACAGGTTGCAGACCTTTATCAACAGCAACTGTCTTCGCTCTATACTGAAGATCAGATGGCCGGAAAGAATCACCAACAAGAAACTATGGGAACAAACAAAACAAGAAACTATCGCCCAAAAAATATGCAGGAGAAAGTGGAGATGGATTGAACACTCGCTGAGGAGGAGGCCGTTGGGTGACATCGCGCGTCAGGCCAGTGCTCGAGTGGAACCCGAAAGGTAAGCGGCGAGTGTGACGTCCAAGGGTGACATGGAGGAGATCGTGTGAAGAGGAGTTGAAACAGTATGGACTAGCATGGATGCAGGTGAAAAGTACAGCAGAAGACAGAAGCAAGTGGAGACGTGCAGTTGAAGCCCTATGTTCCACTAGGGACCCAAGGGAACAATAATAATAATGTAATTGAAATTCACGAATTGCAATAAAGTTTGTGTTGATCATCATAACAGAAAAAGAAACTGCTTTTTCTCGGAATGAATCCATTATGTGGTATGCAATTTTTATTTACAAACACAATCAACAGCACATACACACATACAAGAAACAAAGAAATGCTTCTTTATAGTATGTACCCTTGTCTTAATGTAAGGATAATATATTTCTAATTTCTTGATCACATGATATATAAATGACTAATAATCACAACAATTATCGATCCAGCAGATACGTTATGCGCTCGCTGATTCACATGATGTACACGCAAATTTATGTGTATACGAGGTTAAATTAAGCTACTACATTTAATTTTCTCTTACGATTAATTTCTATTCTTCTCACCTATTATGAATATGAAATACCTAAGGAATTTTTTTGTTGAGATACAAATAAAACGATTTATTTTCTTACTGATTCAATGTAACCAGTAAAAGTAGCTTATTAAACGAAATCGGTTGGATAACAAACATTATAATATATAAGGGGCAACAGACAGTACAACTCGTTGAGGAACACAAGAAGAACAATGCAAAAGTTAAACATTTTCGATTTAATTTCCAGAAGTAATCAAAACCAGTCCTAACTTTTCACCGCTGTACTACTGCATTATATCAAACAATGTAGCTACGTAATCTCGCCTATTGGTCACATTTCAACAAATTACCTCACATAAGCAGAATAGACTTTCTTCCTAAATTAATTTTGATTCTGATGATATTAGATGGTTGGAGACAGGAAGCGGCAGGAAGCCCCGCCTGGCCCATGTTTTGTGCTAGTTGGCACTCACCAGTCAGTAAGACGTATCTGCAGCCTTAAAGGAACTCATATCCCTTCTGACCAGTAGGGTGCAGCAGGTCGGGCGTGAGGACAAATACTCGCCGAAGACATTGGCTAGGGGTCGCGCTATGTCGTGAATTGGCAGAAGTTAGAATTCATGGGCCATTGGATCGGGTCCCAGTGGCCTAATGGTATACGAGCTCGCCTTGTAACCAGAAGGTCCTGGGTTCGAATCACGGTGGGTGCGTACTGATGAAGAGTCCCAAACTAGGACGAAACAGCTGTCCAGTACTCCCAGGTTTTCCAATGGTTCTCTAACTAATGTCAGCTCATGATAAAAATCCTGTAACCAATCAAATCCCTACAAACCAACACTTGAAGTACAGAGGGATTCGAAGCTGTGAACCGTCGAGTGAAGCAATTTAAGTTTCTCAGTTAACTAGGCGTGAATATTTTCAATTATGTTGACTCATTGAGTTATTTTAAATCGGGTTCGTTACAATGTGGAAAGCAACAAGCCAAATAACCAGCTGCTTAAAGCAAACTTTCTAGTTTTAGTAATACTCACAATTTATCGCTAATACATTCATGACTTTACTACTCTACAAATGACTTTCGTGTAAAAGGATACGAAAAATAAGAGTATCATGTTGACAAGAGAACACAAGCATTACACTTTAGTATAGTGACTGTGAAATAAAAAATAAGCCTCGAAATAAAAATGGGTGATTACGTAATTCAGGTTGTCTTGGTACACAATTAAGCAATAAGTTATGAAACTCACTGAAAAAATTGATTCCTGTGGGTTAACTTAGTTAATATCTTTTCTTCCAAAAACTCATAGATAGTTTTGACTTAACCAAGTTACATAGAGACACATCAGTACGAAATGCTACATTTAACAACAGTACAGAAGCAGAATAGCTAAAGGTAAGACCAATTTTATGTCGGAGACACTCGCTGGGAGTAGGTTTGACAATATTATGCATTTATAGCCATAGGGTCAGATTGGAAAAGAGCTAGCGGCGGTCAAACCAAAACATGGCACCAGTCAATGAAATCTACAACAGTAAGTCTAGGCCACGTAGGAAGGTGTAGACTTCCTGGTTGGGGTCCTCGGAACGGTAAAAACCAATGGTTGGAAACAATCGGTGACATGGCTCAAAATCGTTCTCAATGGCTGGTGCAGATGCATCCACTCCTTGTGACTTATGATTTCTAATTAAACTGTTTTGTTCTTCGTTATTACTACTCCTTTGCCTCACACCTCTGTTTACTGTCTATATTATGCATTTCTTCTACTTTCTTCTCTTGCTTTGTGTGCTACAAAGAGGGAGTATGGCGACTTGAACTGCCGCACATATGTGCAAAGTTCTATGTCGAAAACAGACAGACAGACAGCCATTGATTAAATAGTTCAGCTGCTTAAGTAGGACTCAGTAAATAGAGTTGAGACTATGCATGGTGAAACTTCAGTGACTAGAACAACTATCAAGTTAAACGAGTCACTGAATGAGTGAAATGTTAGCCAACAACCAATTGTCACTCCATGCAGTTAGTAGTGAGCAGCATCTACTGTGTGAGGACTAACGATACTAACTGACTGCCCAAACCCCAGTTGGTGGAGTGAGGTCTGAACCCGCGATGCACTAGTTGGAAGTTCAGCGTCTAGATCAATGAGCCACAGCTCCACGAGCCACTGACTTCCTCAATAAGCGACTTAGGTTTAAATTAGAACATGAATGAAGAGTTAAGGGGTGTTCAAACCAAAATATGGCTACATTTAGTGAAGTTACTGACTATCGTTCTTAGCAATATAGTTTACTTGACTGGTGACCTCATGACCAATAGATTTAATGCTGCAGACCCTTAATGAAATAGCTTAAAACAGTCATAAACTTTGTAGGTATTATTATTTCCTTGGGTTCCGAGTGGAACATAGGCCTTCAACAGCACATCTCCATTTCATCCTGCTCTTTGTAGTCTTTTATAGCAGACCAATAATTACCCCCAAGTTTTCATCTCTTCCTCATGCGATCTCTATCACATCATCTTTGGAAGCATAAATCGTGGCTTTCTATTTATGTTCCACTTGATGATCTATCTTGCACATGACGTCGCTCAACCGTTCTCTCCTCAGTGTGTGCGTGCTGTTTTTAAAGACATTCCTTCTCTGTTTTTAATTTAACGGGAGGACATCTCAATGGAAATTTTGATCACCCAACAGAATCACCTATATCCAGAAATCAATAAAACTTGATTTTAAACCTTTAGTATTGTGCATGCTATATACAACATAAGTGAATTAAGAGACTCAATAAAATGAAACACTTTGATAAGGGATGAACACATCTTTAATTAAGTAAAATCATGTAAATGGTAATATGGACATAATAATATTATGAAAGAAAGTGAACGTAGTCTTATAAGTATACTAATATAAGCGGTTTGTAAAACTAACAAAACTCCAAGTTAATTTTTAAAAATTCCCCTTCATCAACTTTTAGATGACAAAATGAAAGATCCTGTTTGTTCGTCTCTTCGAAAACATACATCCGCTTTTAAATTTTGATCAATTAACTGGATTACGTTATCATACGTTTTTATAAGCTGTGACAAATACAGTTTATGCCAATTAAAACTTGTTTCCTGTACAATATGCAATAAAATAAAGTCCGTGTATATAGCCAGAAAGCCCATATGGTGATAAGAAAAGAAAAAAGAGAGTGTTAACTTCGAAGAGCAGCAAGTCGTGCATCCATTTCCAAATCCACCTCATCTTTATCTAGCAAATTAGATGCTGGTAGAACACTCTGAGGTACAGAAACTGATAAGGAATGATCAGCAGGTTCAGGTGCTTCACCTAACTGTCCAGCTGTTATATCCCATATGATTTTATCAACTTCAGCAGCAGCTAATTCATCCATTTCTTCATGATGACCAAATGAAGATTCCATAGTATCGTCTAGCATTTCTTCCATTATCCCAGCCTTCATCATTTCCTTACTCAAATTCTGCATTGTAGCTTGAATCTCAGGTAACTAGGACAGAATTAAAAGAAAACATAATTCATAAACATTATTGTCTTGATTAAGTTAGTGCAGGAATCATCAGCAAATGAATTTAATGCGATATACATACCAATTATAGTTTGTCTTGATCTCTACAAAAGTAAGTAAATTCAAGTTAACATGTCAAAAAAGTACGCAAAAAGAAATAGTATTTACAGAACCATATTGAAATGAATAAATGCTCATAAAAGAAGTTAGAACTCAGTTACTCAGGATATCTGGCAATTGTAATCGGATTGGTGAATATTCTGGTCTACCTAGGGGAGCTGGAAAACCCTGATTCTAAAACTATGGTGCACGCGGGCTCCAGATTTCTCACGGACCGAATGGCGTATGAAGCTGTTTTTGTCACCGGAAACCATAGGGTCACAGTTTCACTGACTTGTGGATCAGAATTCAAGTTAAAGGTTTGAGAGATGGTCCCTTAGCCCAACCACTTATTTCGGCCTGGTCGTCCGGGCAGCAACCCAACCCTCGCACAAACTATGGGGTTTCGTGTGGCACATCTTTTGGTGTTTATAATGCACCAAGTTTGTGCTTTAGTAGTGATCAGTTGCCTAGAACAGATTTCCCATGTATCAGGCTATATGATTCACACTTGTTACGAAAGGGCTAATGATACTATTCAGTTGTACGGGCTGAACAAGATGCAGCGAGATTTGAACCTGCGACCCATAAACTGAAAGCCAAAGGCCTAGCCCAAAGGAGAGAAAAATAATTTAACCCGTGGTAGATATCAGCAAGAGAAACATTGAAAGACAGGGAGTACTGGACAGCTGTTCCATCCCAGTTTGGGAATCATCGGCAGTATGCACCCACAGGGGTTCGAACCCAGGACCTTCCGGTTACAAGGCAAGCTCGTATACCATTCAGCCACCGGGATCGATTCAATGGTCCATGAATTCTACCTTCTAACAGTTCGTGATTTAGAGCGTGATATCAATCCGTGATCAACTCGTAAAAACAAATCTAATCCTTACAAACCAATCACAGAAAATTAATCCGGTGCTTGCTAGTGACTTGATAAAGGATGGAGTTTCCTGGAGTTCTAGTGAGAATTCGTGACCAGTGAGGTCCATCCAAATATCAAGTGTGAGGATGGATGTCCCACCGATGACATTGGTTGGGGTCGCGCTAAATCACGAATTGGTAGAAGTTAGAATTCATGAGCCATTGAATCGGGTACCAGTGACTGAATGGTATACGAGCTTGCCTTGTGACCGGAGGGTCCTGGGTTCGAACCCCTGTGGGTGCGTACTGATGATGATTCCCAAACTGGGATGAAACAGCAGCTGTCCAGTACTCCCTGGTTTTCAATGGTTCTCTAACTGATATCAATCCGTGATCAACTCGTAAAAATAAATCTAATCCTTGCAAACCAATCATAGGAAAAAGGATATCAGCAAATAAATTACATTCGTAACACTCGTGATTAGGGTTTATACAAAGATAAGTGGTGTTCAGAATTTAGATTACAATTAGTGAATACACCAGCTCTGTCATGGATCATGTTATCGATACCTTACAGCTGGCACGGTCGCTTATAGTGTTGATGAAGTCACCTGGTCCAGTCATAAGACATTCATATTGAAATTTCAAAGATTAAAGAATACTAAACAACTGTCACATTATCTTTAGCCTCAAGTTTTCTGTGTTCCCTCCATATGTTATACACTTGCAGTGTTCAAACACAGGAGTCAACTAAGCAATGATATTCAGGATGATAGACACAAGGAAATTCCGTAGGAAAATGTACTCAATACGTTCTTATTAGATTATACTCACATTTTTGAAAACACTCAATGCAAACACGTAATACCCGTAGGACAAAAATGTGATTACTAAACATAATAATTACAGAATGTTTTGGCGTGGAGTGAAAGAAACTCTTATTACAAAGTGACTTACTGATAAAGTATTCAAGTTCTTTTAAAACAGCTAGTTCCCTTCATTAATTCAAACAAAGCAATAAGAAGACGTAGTTTGTCTGAGTTGTGTAATGTATTTGCGCAACATATTTCGAACAATCCGATGACACACGGACTTGTCATAGGAATATTTATGAAATTAATAAAGAGTTAAGAGGTGAGAAAATAGGTTTAGGTCAATTTAAAAGGACGCAGTCTGCTAATAATCTCTCATCAGACAACTATATATTTGTGAGCTTCAACAGTCAAACATGACGACAATTCAAGCACATATGTATCCGGAGCCCCTAGAGTGAATTACAGTGAGACAGCAGGACAAAGCTATTTAAACACATTTGGCAGCATCAGTTTGATGTCAACATTTTAGAAAGGTAAAATACCAAACTACCAAACATTTCAGGTGAATTCCAAAAATAATAACGTACATATCAAAAATAAGTAAGCAGAAGTAGTTTTGTGAATATCGTTGTCACAGAAGCCAGGACAGTAAAAAAAACAATACAATGCTACGAAATAAAAACGCCAAAATGAGTAGCTGTTGACTGTAAAAGGTCTGAAAATACCCATTACAAAGTGCTACAGTCCACATTATTTTTATTTTACTTTCTTGAGAACTAACCTTCAGTTAAAAACGTTAAAAACAATGACAGTTAACGAAAAAGTTGTAATTATGCAATTATCTCAAGCTTAAGTGGTTGCAAAAACATTTAGCAAATTATTTTGAAAGGTTTCAGCTTCACTTCAGGACATCGTGATGTTATGTATAACTGATTAACTGACATGAGCAATTGGATGCCATTCACATCAACTAGTAGGGTTTGCTGACTAGATCAAAGTGATGTAAACACCGGATACCTTTTTCGCTCGTTTGATGCCAGGATCACCACTGGTGTACCTAAATTGACTCAGACCAGACAGTCAGAGGTTATCAGTGCTTTAAAATGATTCAGAGCAGTATGACCAGAACATCTACCTTCAGACGTTTTGAGTGTCAGTCAGAATTTAAAATTGGACAAAGTCAGATATTAGCCAGAAAGACTTGAGAGAGCAACCCAATGATCACACGCAGATTTGCTTATTGGCAATATTTAATAATCTCATCATAAGACTTCAGTGATAAAAATAAAAGGCATTCTGAGTAGTATGTAATTCAAGTTCGAAATTCACGATATCCAATAACAAACGACAGGTGTATTTACTATCGTATCTAGTACTGTTACATATAACAAGTAGTTCCACTTACTGCAGAACCGCAGTTGTTATATTTCCTACCTAAGCACAAACTTATGTATAAATAACTGATATCATCAATGTAAACTAACTTAAACGCAAGTCAAGTCGTTATGTAAATACAATGCTTTACACATTCATTTATTTTTATGAAGGGAGAGGGTACAGCCACCGTATGTAACTTATCACAAGTTTTATGGATTAATATTAAAAGTCATATGAAAAACACAATAGGAGGTCAGCTCCAAAATAACGCTAACACAAGGAACTCAATAAATGCGAATAATAGAAGCAAGATATATGAACAGATAGTTTAATCTACAATGTATCAGTCTCTGATGGTGCTACTTAAAGTCAGTGTAACTATTGCTACTAACTGAGAATCCCCAATATTTATTACAGATGCACGAGTCAATGTTGGTTATATATATATATATATATATATATATATATATATATATATATATATATATATAATTAAAACCTAGGGAAAGCATCAGGACAAGATGGAATACCCACCCCCGGCAGGACTAAAAACCGACCCAGAGACGTCAACGCACGTGGAAGGACAGAAAGGTACCTACCGGTTGGTAGAAAGAATATTTCGTATTCTCCCATCGAAAGAAAATACAGTGACTGAATGACCTCCTCAGGGCTATTGCCAGCTGTCATCATTCACCCTCGCAAATTTCAGCGTAGACCATGTTTACATTTTTATTCAGGACCAACAATTTATGCGCGAATCAAGTTGCAACACTTCACCTCGAATTCATCAACTTTAAAAATGTTTTAACAGTGTTGACTATGAGGTAATTTGGAAACTGTTTCGACACTGCTGAGTTCAGTACCACAAAAGATTACAAACCTTATTCAACAGATGTATGTCAAGTAACTGACTACTGAAAACTTCGACAATCCTTTGAAAAGAAGCTGGGTAAGACAAGACAGTTATTCCCGACTGTAGTGGGCTGGATCATGTGGCGGATTGTGGGGACTGAGAAGGCATTTAAACGGTGAACCGATAAAAAGACCATAAGACATTCAAACTTATTTCTCGTATCACACAAAATAGATTTACACGCGAAAACTAACAAGTTGGCTGAAGAGGCGGCGAAGACAAGAATTCAGTTGAACGTAGAGAAGATAAAAATATCAAGCTGACGACAAAAATCACCAAACACCATCAACAAGAGAAACCTTAAGGAGGTCGTCTCTTTCACTTACCTTAAATGGGCATCGTCATTTCAACTAAAGGAGGCACGGATGATGTCGAGGCCAGTCAATATTAGAAAAGCATGACATACAGTCATTACTCTAAAATAAGCGTGGAAATCTACAGCAATCAGTAGAAGACACAAGATCTAAATTTTCAAACTAGCGTCAAACTGTCTGCATGTGCGTCACCAAAAGCATTTAAAACAGGCTGCAGAATTTCATTAAAAGATGCCTTCGCTTGATACTGAAGATGGTATAGCCAAACAGAAAGGATAAGCAGTGCGAAACTTCGAAACAGAAGCGGTTGGGATCCTATGAGCCAATAAATATGCAGAAAAAGTGGAGACAGACCGAACATAAGCTGAGGAGACTCTCGAAGGATATCACACACCAGGCCCTCAAATGAAACCCGAATGGGAAACCTTAAGTCGGACAACCCAAGGTGATAGGTAGAAAATAATGTGGAGTGGAAATTGAAGTTTGAGGGCAGTTATCGAGCCACGTGAAATTAATGGCAAGGAATTGAGTGAACTGGAGACGTATCGACGATGTCCTATGATCCACTCAGAACGCAAGCAATGAATACAATGACAATAGCGTATAGGTAAATACATTCTGAAATGGGAGTCTTTAATCAATAACACTGAGATAGACATGACAATAAACACAAGGAGGATTCTATACAGCTTTCAACAGAATAAAAGATTCAGTAAGAATGTTTCAACTCTATGCAACAAGTTATTCTTCAAAAGAAATGCATATAGTCCAAACTCTTGTAACATATGATCTCAAAAATCCGGTTTCAAACGCACATCCAACTGCAACCATTGTTGAACTGTTTGAAGGAATGTGCAAAGATCGAACTAAACATAAGCTTTCTGAATTGGTACTAAGTGAAAGGGTTCTAAACGCTGTATTTAGAATTGTTCAGTCGTTAAAAATGACAAAGTAAGCCATAATATGAAGCTTACTCAGTTCACTAGTACTTACCTTTACTAATGATGACATAGCAGTCATCACAGCAGTACTTTTCTGTATACCTGCAGTCAGCTTACTCATAGCAACAAGGTGACGCAACTCCATGGACACACTGTCGATCTGAGATAATGCAGTATATAAACGGGCAACAGCCTTTTTCGAGGCTGCATATTCTTTAGCATATACTTTAGCGGAAGCCATATCTGATTGCTTCGCACATTTCCTTATAGCCACTTCCATTTGCTTCTGCTGCCTTAGATGAGTTTGAATATCTCTTTCAAGTGGATATTTCTCTCTCCTTAACACAGAAACCATTTGATTTATCTGAGCCTTTACGTCCTTCTTGCGTCCAAATAACTGCATCTTGAAATGAAAGTCAAAAAACCCTCGGGAAAAACTGACCAAATACAGCGCTTCTATTTTAGTTAGCCTTCAAAATTCCGAATACTTTTCTTAAAATTGAAATAAGGATCCACATTCATTTTTTAATTGCAAATATAAAGATTAAAGCCTATTCTAATCCCTTATTATTATTTGTCGGTGTTTGTTTATTCCCTTCTTGAGCTAGTTGACTGAATGCTCAGACACCACTTTTTGTATGGGTCGACCCCTGGATTTGAAGACTCTGTGAATGAACTCGCTCTCCATAGTGGTATATTAATTGCCTAGTTTTAAAAATCTTGCCTTTTCCTCTGAAAAACTGTCACCTAGTTGAAAGAGAGGGCAAAGATACATCAGGTTCGTCGTCATTTCTTAAAATTGTAGCATATATTTATCAGGTCTTCTCTCAACTTACTGTGTAATAAGACGAATTCTAGTGGGGATTTGACTAGGTTACATGAATAGTGATTGCTCGCGATGTTAGTTGTTCATTTGGACATTTCTTTTATTGTGGGTCGCCTCTTTTGAATATTCATCAGTAAGTCACACTTTTCTAGGCATTCTGTGCAGAGGATTGATGGCTATGGGTTGGTGACGGTGAAAATCTGTGGAAGCTGTCGCTTAAACCTTAGGTTGGGCGTCTATGTTTTCTGCCTAATATTTACGGTCTAGTTTTCGCTGGCGACCCGTCTGTTGACTGTGGGGGCAGTCATCGTTCCGGTTATGACGCTGGGTGTTGTCCCTGTATCACCCAAGAAGCTTTAGGCAGAAGTTTATCCATGATACAAAACACACAACTTGTAGAATAGGGATCCCTTCTCAGAAGTCACCATGTGAGAGGAGATTAATCTCTTCCACATTGCTTGTGAAGTAGTATATGCCGGGCACAGTTGTATTAATATCTTTGGTTGTTCATCAAACTGCCAGTGATGCGGACAGAGTAGTCATGTTGAAGTGATTTGTCTGGGTCAACTTCTTGACCTGGAGCGCTATCGCTTGGGGTATCTACCTCATTTGCCCTGGATTAGCCACAAAACTTCCGGTGTTTCCATCAGTGAACTATGATGAGCCATAGGTCTTAATAATAATGAGTTGCTTTATTCCAAAATAGCACTTACGACACAGTGGGGGATTTTCAGCATTTTGCGCAATATAGCACCCAATTTACTGAAAAACAACAGCATAAAAAATACATTCCTGGGAACACTAAAAGAAAATTTGTAACAGCAACTTTTGCCATTAACAGGAGCAGTAAGGTAAAAATATACAAATGTGACTTGACAAGAATACTATCAGTATTAGTAACAAAATTATTAGACCATGAAGATAGCCCCACAAATGTGGGAGAATAACTGAGCCATCTTTTACGCTTATTATGCAGTAGGTGAAAATTTTCACGCTTAACACTATCTTTTCCACGTAGAAAGAGGGCTAACTATGTTATCGTTGAGCTTTTATTCTTGGTAGTGAGAGAATATAATCTTTTGCAATGACTTCTAGCCCTCCTACATCAGATGAAAGGCGGGAGTTGCGATGAAGTCAAGGTAGAAGGCGTATGCAATGTTGTGTTCCCTGATATGAATGATATTTATATAACAAGCAAGAAACCGAAATTAATATGTGGCAATAGTGTATTTTTTAAATATCAGATTTCATCATCTATCTGTCTGTAAGTTCTTTTTTTACTTAGCTTACACTTATTGTATCTATTATCATCATCCATCATCTCCACAATGCCTGATGGCTAACTGGTGAGATGATCAACTCCATCCACAGAAGCGACATTGTCTTAGCACTGTGCATATAACAAACCATACAAATAATCACAGCACAACCCCCCTTAGAGTAAATCAGAGCTACATAATTTGATTGGTGAGACGCAGTGCTCGGAAGCTTACGGAAGAGCAGGCAACCTCATCTTAAAGCAAGGAAGCAACCTCAGGGAAATAATAATAATTTTTATTTCTGGAACAGAAACCAGCCATTTTTACAGGCATGAACAAATGTACACTAATTAGAACTTATAGAATATATATGATTTGTTAATCTAGAAATAGATTGAATACTGGTAAATTTGAGAGAAATATTTAAAAAGAAATGTACAAATAAGGCAATAGGTAATTTTCGAGATATGCTTTCAACTGAATAATTTATGAGAAATAGCATCAAATCAAAACTGTAACTGAAAAAAAAAATACGGTAAACGATTACGTTAATTGTGGAAGGTAAGTAGCATTTTTTTACAGGTGCTGACGTGAAATATAAGAGATGCGGAATGAACAGTAATTGTAAGTAAATGATTCACAGAGTGTTTGAAAGTCCATAAAACTTCAAATTCACCGGTAAGTACACCATAATTGTGACATTTCCAGTTGTATATGAGACCAACTTTGAACTTGTCGGCAGATTTCCTGATAGAGGTGGTTCCGTTATTCACCAGGTGGGCTAGCAATATTCCGAGGATAGCGGCACTGTTTCAGTACCTTCGTTTAAGGCAGTACCTTTGAAAAGAGAAGAAGACACAAGGAAACCGACAGAGAGGTGCAGAAGTATATAATAGGTGTTAATAATTCAAAACATATGTAAAAAAACATGGGTTCATCATTTTTTTGTTTTTTCTTCATTTAAAAAATACTATTTCCCCCTGAGATTTTCTAGTGATGGAATTCTAGTCTTTCTTGCGAAAAGAAATCAATCTGGTTTCCACTGACTCGTAAATAATGGATACTGAAAGAGGAGTTAGAATAAAGTATCGACCTCGCGCTCCTTGAATACGACGTGCTTTTTCCTCTCTAACCGGAAAATAACTATCTTGTGAATTATCCGCTTGGGAAACCTGATCTCCCTAGCCGTTGAATTAAATTCAACCATTACTTACATATTGAATCTCTGAGTGGTAAGTCCAGCTGTCTCGGCCAACTGCCAAAGCTTCAGGTGCTACATTTGTAGCAGTATCTTCCTCACTCGTTCAGACAAACAAGACTTGTTGGTCTACCACGTGTTTGCTGTGAAGCCGATCATCGAAAAAGTACTAGGTAAAGTCGAAAACCTTTTCTTTTCCTTGTCTTGTACTTTTTCAGTCTTATTCTTGTTCTTGTGGGTAGATACTTTCGCGCTCTTATTCGTATACAGCATAAGTCACAGTGATTGTTAATATGGCTGTAGAAAGTAGCCTTAGAAAAGGCACTAAAACACCATACTCTGTAGTCACAAGGGCTTCAGCCAGAGGAGGCAAAAACCCAGGGACATCAACCCCTTCCCGCATACCGATCATAAAGACTCGTGTAGGCCTCGCCTGTCCTGTTACTACGCCTGCATTGTCACAGTCTATTACTGAAACGGCACAGGCAATGCCAAGGGGACAGGATACTACACCTGCACCAACTGAAAGCCAGTGTGTGAAACACAGCAAACCTAAAAGGAAACGTACAAGACCTCGAAGGCGTCATCAAGGAAGGGAGACGAATTTCAGGCGTGTAGTATCATAGCTTCTGAAACTGACTCAGCGTTTCAATGCAATTTTGCAAACGATGGGTACACTGCCGTTGTGAAAAGGGGTGCCGAAAGCATACTACGAGTTTATGAGAAATAACCCATGCCTGCGGTTTTGGTATATCTGTCCACTTTGCCGCCCTGGCATAGTCTCACATGGCGTGTCTGTGGATAGCAGAAACAACACGCCGCTCTTGTGTCCCAACCTGCTAACACCATAATCCCAAAACTTGGCACTGACAATAAGAAGGACACTCCAGTCCTACTGACTGGAAATGCCAATTTTCACAAGGTGAAAATTCACAAGGTTGCACCCACAACATCAGGGGAAGATAGAATTAGAAAAGTACCACTTGCATCCACTAGCAAGCTTGGCAACACAACAAAGGCTGGCCAGAACCTGATGAAGTCTAAAGTTGCTGACGCTGGAAAGGAATACAAGAAGCCAAAGACCAAACCTAAGTCTGAGGTTAGTCGGTCTAATTCCCTTATCCTCTTTAACATACCTGTGAGCAAGGATAGCTTGCTTATAATAGTAATAATAATAATTTATATTTCGTATAAACGGGTAAGTTTACAAGAATTGCATGCCATTTGTACAGGCACGATCAGTAATGTTATAAATTACAATCTTGAAGTATCATAAATTAATACTTTTTCAAAAGTTTGAATAGTTCACTTATTGTATAAGCAATCAGAACAGGTTCTTATAAATGTTAAATTGTAAACCGTTTACTTAAGTCACCATCAAAGTTGAACGACAACCCGAACTTCGTTCCGTTTCCTGCTGACCGTTATGGTCACCCAATGAACAGCGTATATCTGGGTGAGTGCTATGCCTCCCACGTGACTGAACGCTATTTCAGGAAGAGGAGAAAATTCTGCGTAGCTGCAAAATGGTATAAAACGCAAATATGAATAACACATTATTGGAAGTATATTCACAAGATAAATACAAGGAGAAGAAGCTATATAGTACTTGAAATGATAGTTTACATTTGCAATGTTTAATGCTAACCATATTGGTCTAAGCATGGAAACTATCACGTTTCCGATGAAAATATAGCTCTGTTCAAACATTGGTGTTGTTGTGCTTTTAATCAAAGCAAATAGACTTAAAGCAAGCAACAAATATGAATATAGAGCAAGTTTCAGCTTCAATAAAGGCCTAGGTAGTTAAGATCAGATAGAGTATAATAATGCGTAAATAAAAAGATTCTTGTGAGGTAGGTAAGTGATATATAAGTGAGGAGTGAATTCAAAGATCTGAAAGATTAGAAGCCGTAGAACAAGCTGACCTGTAAGATGCCTCACGAATTTCTGTAGGGCCCAACGGGCCCTTTTTGATCAGGAACAGTGGTCCAACTTGTGCAATAAATTAGGTCTGAACATTAGTTCAGCGAAATTGTGCAGGCTGTACAGTGGTGTCCACACAACTCAGGATAAGCCACCCCCAGTAAGGGTTACACTGGACTCTGCCGAAGAGGCCGAAAGATTACTATTAAAGGCTCAGGTACTAGCCATCGACAGAAGTTCTAACATAAGGGTGAGACAAGACAGACCATGGGCTGTCACACAAATGGTAAGGGAGTCACCGGAACTTTTGCCTTCTACCTCTATGGTAGTGCACGGTGTTCCGGAGCTGGAAACGGGCACTGCCTGTGAAAAACACATGCATGACGTACAGCAGTGGAGATGGCTGTCGTCTCAGATGGCCCTTGGCGCTTCTGGAGCCATCTCCATTTCCCGACTACCTCGCCCCGCTCATCTCGCACTGATTAGCTGTCCAAAGCTGCTAAGTGTCACATTCAACTCCCCGAAGCAGTTGGCCATAGCACTTCAACGGTGGTATGGGACCAAGGGAAAAATGGAAGGACACATCCGATGCTGCAAAAGCAGACCTTGAACCATAAGGAGGTAGCAAACTGAGGCCTTAATACGTCGCCAAGCTTCAGTGACACTAGAGCGATGCAGTTCTGAGAATAACAGCCTGTGTCACCCAGGTGTCCTGCCTAAATCCATGGAAAAAACACAACGGGCCGTTCCCATCGGAATCGGCCAACTAGTCCCAACATTAAGTCCCCTACCAGCAGACAGCTTCACGTCAACTACCCCACAACACGCTGAGGTTGTTAGACTCACTGTCAGCTGCCTATATAGCAATGTGAGGTGGCTGAGAAGAAAAGTGGGTGAACTTCGAAATCTCCAAGCACACCTACAACTGAAAATGATCATTCTCACTGAAACGTGGCTAACCCCCACTATCGCCGATAACGAAATCAGTATAGGTGATATGGTTCTGGTCAGGAGAGACAGGGATAATAAGGAAGGAGGGGGAGTTGCTATATACTTTGACAGGCAACTTAAATGTGTGCGCGCAACGGACCCACCACTTATTGAACCCCCAGACTCCATATGGTGTCATTTCACCGTAGGCCACACCAAGCATTTACTTGGTGGCATCTACCGATCTCCCACCTGTGGGGCAGAGCACAATCAGATACTGCCCAGCACTATCACAGGGATACGAGACTTCGGCTATGGCCAAATCACCATAGCTGGAGATTTCAATGCCCCATCACTGAACCTTGGCTCGGGTACGCTAAGGGAAAATTTGGCCGAAATCTACTGCAAACTATTCGAAACACGGAACTGACTGAGAATGTTGGAGACGACACAAGGTGGGGCCCTAGTGGAAAGTCATCAAAACTAGACTACATTCTAACTAGTGACCAACTACTCGTCGAAAACGTCCAGATCATGACTCCTCTAGGAAGTAGTGACCATGCAGTCATAGGTTTCGATCTCGTTCTCCGTGAGCATTTGCAGTGGGACGCTACGCGACCATGTCTGTGTTACAGCAAGGCTGACTATGCTGAAATGCGGAGGCTCTTGTCCGACGCAGACTGGCCCCTAGCATGGGATGAGCTATCTGTGGGTGAACACTGGGAGGCGGTAAAAATGATTATTCATACAGTTATCTCGGATACTGTCCCTTTAGTCACAACACAGCACAAAAGTAAGTCATCATGGTTAAAGAGAGGCACGCAACGTATTCTGCAAGCAAAGCGGAAGGCTTGTTTTACGTGGTGCGTATCTAAGAGTCAGATCGACGACGATGCATACCGGGAACTAAGGAACCGGTGCAATGAAAGAGTCAGGAGGGACAGGAGGTCATTTCAGGCTAACCTTGCAGAAAAACTCCCCAAAAACTTGTACCGATTCATGTCGGAAAGAAAACCAACCAACCAGGGGGCATGCGTCTTAGTAGGCCCAAACGGTCAACATCTCACTAGTCTGAAGATGGCTGAAACATTCAGTTTAGCCTTCGCCAAACAGCTAAACAGCAATGTGGGTATTGCCGTTACGGACCAAATTGGTGGCACTACTATTTCACAGGAGGAAGACCTAATGGCTACTACCCAAATAAACCCAGCAATAATACTAGGGAAAATACAGCGACTCACACCTGGGAATTCCCCAGGTTGTGACGACATCAGGCCATCTGTTCTGAAACAGTGTGCAGAAGCTCTCTGTAGGCCCTTATGCGACTTGTTCCAACACTCCATGGATTCGGGGAAACTGCCAAAGGAATGGAAAAGAAGCATCCTTACTCCGATCTTCAAGGGTGGGGATAGGCGAAATTCCACTAGTTGTAGACCAGTAGCTCTACTCTCAGTGGTATCAAAAGTACTGGAAAGTATTATTGACGATCACATCAGGGAATATCTCGATAGGTCTAATTTACTCCACGAATCCCAACACGGTTTCAGGAAAGGCAGATCCTGCGTTACTAACCTACTATCAGCTTGGGACGATTGGACATCATGCTGGGATATGAATGTTCCAGTCCATGTGGTCTTCCTAGACTTTGAGAAGGCATTTGACACTGTTCACCATGACCTTCTCCTACACAAAATAAGCCAGGCAGGTATAGGTAAGCCACTTCTGTCATGGCTAAAGGACTATCTAGCCGGAAGGCAATTTTACACTAAGGTCAATCGAGTCCGATCATCTTGGCACAGCTCATCATCGGGAGTGTCACAGGGTTCTATCCTAGGGTCACTGATGTTTTTGATTTAAATCGATGACATACCATGCCATCTAAGCTGCCTAACTCTTCTATATGCTGACGACGTAAAGATATGGAGGGCAATAAAGTGTTAGGAGGACTCAGATAGTCTGTAGGCGGATCTAAAGCTTCTGGAAGACTGGGCGGTGGCCAGTGGCATGACTTTCAACCTGAAAAAGTGCAAAGTAGTGAATTTACGCACCTGTAGACTGCAGAATGCAGGTGACACCCTGTGCAATCAAAGCTTGTCCTGGACAACGTCGGAACGCGACTTAGGTCTAGTTCTAACGGAGAAAATGGACACAAGCGTAAATTACACGGGGGATGTAGCGAGGGCATATGTGGTCATATACTTTATACAGACAGTTAGGTGCACTCACCCCTGAGCTCTTTCTAAGGTCGTACAAAACATACGTCAGACCAAATCTTGAAGTTCATAGTATTACTGCACCTCTACTGCCTAGAAGAGACGCCAACCTCTTGGGAAGAGTCCAACGACGGGCAACAAAAGGAGTGGTTGGTCTCCGAAATAAACCATATGATGAAAGGCTTAAGAAATTAGGCCTATTCACACTTAGCTACCACCGGCTTAGGGGGGATTCGATTACTGCCTACAAAATAACAAATGACCAGAATCACCCAAACAAAGGTGTTCTGCCATTGAGTAGGTATGGGCTCCCTCGTGGAAATCCCAGAAGGATAGCTCACCAGAGGGCAACGACCCGGGTGTGCTCCCACTTCTTTTCCCTGCGGGTTTGCCGTCCCTGGAATTCCTTACCGGCAGATGTAGCTATGGCACCATCTGTGGACGCCTTTAAGCGAAGGCTGGACAACCATGCAGCGACACAAGGACTGAGTCAAAATGGCCTATCCCCTTAAAATCGCATGCACCATTCAGGGGTAGACAATTAAACTTGTCGTTTTACTTCTTTACACTCCCTCCCATCTTACTCTCCTGACTACTCAAACTACTATACTTACACCTATTATTATCATTATTGTCATCATTACCGATATATATGTATTATTCATATCATTCTTCAAATTTAATCAGCTGACTGTTGTTCTGTCTGTTAGTCTGAATAACTTCACTAATTATATCTATTATTATTATCTCTTTTCTTTTGACGATGATACCGGAGGACTAACTGGTGAAAGGATCAACTTTGTTCACAGTGGTAGCAGTCTTAACACACCTCGTACTAAAAACCACATATAATTAATCCCAGCACTACTCCTTTTGGAGTCAACCAAAGCTACGACAGTCGAGTGGCGGGACGAGCTACGCAGAAGTTTACTGAAGATCAGGAACTTATACAGCACAATCAAGAGGTGAGCACAAAGAAATCAAATGGATTTATACTAGCTCGTGTAAGCGATATTAGACATTGGATACCACCAGAAATTGTTCACTTTGAGGCGGCTCATTTCGATATTGCGTGTCAGTTCTAGGACGTTTGTGGCCAGGTGGTTTCTTTGTGATTACTTTAATTCACGTTTACTTAAAAGTGTATGCATGTTTGTGTGTATCTATGCAGGTGTAGCACGAGCACAACTGTCTAACAATTTTATTGCTTTATATTTAATCAGGCTACACCAAGATCGGTGATGTTTTATTTAAGTTATGCTCTGTCTTATCATTGAAATGATTACTGCTGACATTATGTCAGTTTTCTAATAACTAGTGCAAGCTCTAAAGTAGAACGCTAGTGTTCAAAGTGTATTGCGTGTTCCAAATGAATAGTTCGGGAGCAATGTTTGTGTTTTTAGGGGAACTGTTGTGGAGAATGTGGTTTTTTAAGCGTTTGAGGATTCAGGTATTTTCATGTGACAAAAACTGCATTTTCCGTAAATTTGTATATTGGTTTGTCCCGAAATAAACCCCTGAAACCTCCGGATCCGAATAGGGAATTAATGGAATCGGATATGAAGGCTGTTGCGTTGTCTGCTACATTTCGCTGTTCTTTAAATTTTCTGACGGGATTGTGTAAGCCGGATTACTGGCCGGCAAAAAAAAACAATATTTTAACACCGGTATTATGGCCGATAAGGGTAGAGACAGTTTGATTGATTGCCCAAGGCTATTTAGTGTGTGGTTTATTTGGATTACCATTTATATTTGTCTCAGCTGGTTAATCGACCTTTATACTCTAACTCTGTTATATGTTGGCATTATTTCATAGTTTCAATTGGCTAGTTGTGGGATTTTAATCTAAAACTACTGAATTACCCTGTACATTTCAACCACATAATGATTGTTTTCATAAACGACTGTATTGTGCTCACTTATAGGTCCATTCAACACTACTCTGTCAGGAAGATAGGTTCAGTAGCAGTTGTCATCATTGACTAAGTAGCTTATAGTGTGGGAAGAGTTCGAGACCAAAATCATATTGTTTCAGAAAATGGGTTCCAAGGCATTGATATCTTTCGTTTGGATAACGGGCGAGCTATGTACCAGTCATAATATCTAAAGGAGTTTAGTAGTCTGACTCCTAGATATGCAGCCCCTTTATCCTACGGCGATCGATATCTACGTAAAGGACTATTTGCACAGTCGAAATTTCAGATATAGTATCACCTTTGAATAGACAGGGTTCGACTGTCTTTAATCCCCTCTCCTCTGAACCTTTGAGAGGCGCTAAACCGATCTTTCATCTCTGTCTCTTGTTCCTATCCCAAACCGGTTTCCATGATGTAAGCTACCGGGCAGCACGAGCATCCCTCACGTTTCAAAATTAATTTCTTCTGCTTATAAGCTACCCCATTAATTGTTTTTTACTTCCTGAGTCTTTACCTCGCCCCACCGCTAATATTTTCCGCACAGTTCCTGCATTTCTAAAATCTCTGGGCATCGTTAGCAAATTAGGTCTAATAAATGTTTTTTCCATCCTGCTAACGGAACGTCAGCTTCACATTTGAACTGTCAGAGTCTGAACCCAGTTCTGAATCAGACAACCCTTGATAGTCATTGTCTCGATATCTCAAACTGAGTGTATGTAGGAATATTTTTATGGAGGATACCAAAGAAGCATACTGCGCTCATCTAGCCAATGCATCTAAATTGACGCAGCCTTATAGGGATCTATTAGTTGTTGTCTGAAGTGACGGCAGCCAGTGGTTTTCGTTAGCGATGCCTAGAGACACCTTTCTTACCTACTTTTATTTTAAGCGTTCTGATGGAATTCTTGTAATACTACGGAAATATGTTATTGATTTTGGAAATGGAGATGATATAGTTCTTCCAGATAAAGGCGTTAGTAAAGTGAAGTCTTTCGAATAACTGGAGGAAATATTTGAGTTCGTCTGGCAAGCTGAACTCACTTGTCGTTGTCGTCGCTGTTACCAGTTAAACTGGTCAGAATTAGTCGAGGGGTTCCAGTGAAGGTTGCTCAGACCAACTGACTTGATAAAGACGCCTTTTTAATCGTTAGTGGTTGAGAAGTCATACATTCCTGGCCAGTTTTTGGTATAACTTTATTCTCAAAAATCCATCAAAATATTTAAGAACTAGCCAGGATCAATAATTACCTTTAGATTCATGGTAGTTTTTCCTAAGGAAACCTTCTGATCATCTGGAAATGATATTACACGAATGTTACTGAAACGGGACTAAGCAACGTGTTTTTATGGGAAGATCAGTACAGTGAGTTCTGACTCAACCCACTTAACATCTGTCGGATTAATTTATCGATACTTCTGCTAACAGAAAGTATTCATTCTATACTGTGTGAAGAGCAAATCATTTCTGTTCTCATTGTTGCTTAATTGGTATCCCTTTGACATGTTGATGTTGGCGAATGGTGCTAACGTACGAGTGCTAGTTTTGCAGGTTTTGTGCTGTTCATTAAAAAAGCAGCATATTAGTGTAAAGCTTCCAACAATGATCTAATTAAAAAATAGATATTTTCACCTAATTCACTGTTTTGTGAACCAGTTTTCTTATCTGTATCTCCTGATATGTTTTGGTTTGTTGAATATTAGATACGTTTGGAGTAAATGCGTCGCTTAATTACACCTTATTGAGCTGTTATAATTGGTTAATATTCGTTTTTTTCTAGTTACTTCAACCAAACCAAAACATTTGTTTTTATTTTGATAAAGTAACATAGTTAACGCAATTGTGTAACAGTTTTTCACCATCTTTTTTGTACATTCATTGATATCTTTTCGATCCATTTTTACAGATTTTTATGGACATACAACGTCTCTCCGGTGAAGAAAAGCTTAAATTTAGTCGTGTCTATTTCTACGGTAATTTAGGATGTTCATTTTCTAATAGCTGTCTTATTATTAGCTGGGATCCCATTTCTTCCTTTCCTTTGGTGGATAAACGTATTCTGTTTTCTGAAAGATATATTTTCGCCACAAACATATCCAGAATTTAGACAAGTCAAAAAGTGTAATTAAATTTATCATTAAAAATTTTTTTATTTATAGACGTCCTCTTGAGTTTTATCGGAGCTTTGTTTTGGACAATAGTTGCGATCACTTGGCTAACTGTTTTCTTAAATTTTCGATCTTCCTGGGGTGAATTAGGTGATTGGTTGTCTTTTAACATTCCCCCTGGTAAACTATAATGAAGCAGAAAAAAGAATTCCACTCAAATGAATCAGCTTGGGAAATTACAGATTTACTGGCAAAGGATGCTTCTATTGGTGAAACTCCTTGTATTTATACATCTTCATCTGGACTTCGGCATATTTTCATATCTACTAAGTCTGGATTTATGGTAATATTAAAATGTGTGAATTACTTTTTCTTAGTGTCAAGCATTATACATAAGTCGTTATGTAGACCGTTTGTTGTACGAATATCATAGTTTATCTCAGTGTGGTCCGACAAAACCATCGGAGTTCTGGATACATGGCATTGGTCCCCTTGCTATAACGAGGACAGCTGAGATCGCGTTGCATTTAACTCGCCGGATGTACCCTGGACATCTTGAAATGTCTACATACACTAGCAGCTGTTCAACTAAGAAACATGTGAGTTAGTGTTTTATGTAATCATACTATTCTGATTGGACACCAGTAACTAGTATGCTGTATCGAGTCCTTTGTTTAGTGCAGACTGAATTTTGTCAGTCAGGTTTGCAATGTGGCCACCATTCTAGGTAACTCGCCATCACGGTGCACTTTGAATTGTTGATGTTAGATGGGGCTAAGGTCTCTGACTGCAGCACTGGGTGACACGGGTTCGAATCTCAGAAGAGACATGAATTCCTTCAAGGTTGCAGATACGCCTTGCTGACCAGTGCCAACCAGCACGAAACCTAGGTCCAAGGTTCCTGCATATTGCTTCCAACCATCTAACATCAACAATACTTACTATTCCTAAGTAAAATATAATTCCCTGTGAAATTCACTGTTCATACTATAAAACTTGGTTAAACTTTCGTGTACTTTATAAAACATCACCAAAGACCTCAATTATTTACAATCTTAATGCATTCTGTTTTTTAGATTATATCTCGAGTAGAAAATGAAGAAGTTCTTGTAAAAGAAGAGCCACAGGTGAAAGGTGCTATTCACATTCAAATACGTCTAATTCCCACACGTGATGCTGGACGGCCTTCATAACCTTTAACCATTGTTCAAATAATATTTATCTAGTTTCTTACTTCTGATTTGAGATACCTTTGTCATGATGTCTGTATAATAAGTACCAAATAAAGGGTATTCTGCTTCATTTTCTCACTTTTTTCTGTTAAATAAATGCCTGTTTGTCACTCAAAATGTGATGATTTTACAATTTCAAAGGGTGCTTGCAAGCTTATTGTAGATTTTACTTCGCTTATTTTTGACTATAGTGGCAATGCTAAATTGAGGGGAGAGTGTAGATAAAACGGGAAGAGGCATATTCATAGTTATGTTTAAATTCACCGGTCAAGGAAAATAATTACTACTCTCCTTATAAAGCTTTCAACATGTTCATGAAGCTTTTTTTCCACCCTAAATTCATTTCTGTGTATGGCTTATGAAGGAGCCATATCTCAAGCTAAGCAAGTTAGTGCCGTTACTGATTGGAAATGTAAGAATTGAAGTTTTTCAAAAGCCATAATTATTCCGACTAGATCATTTTCCTATGCACTATACTTCAGTCTAAGTTAATTAGATTAAGCGTCAAAATGGAAGAGAAGTAACTACTTGAAATACATGTGTTTCTATTATTATATTATTGAAATACAAACTTGATATATCATGGGCATCACGAGATGCGTCACACACATAGTTTGTGCTAGGAATAGGATACTGTCCTCACTCGCAAGTTGAAACAAGTGGTTGACTTAAGGGACCTACCGATCTTCTGACTTGAAGTCTGATCCACAAGGCAGTGGAGCAGCGTTCCCATGGTGACCAAAATAAGTTTAGGCGTCATCCGATCCTTTCGGATTCTGGAGCCTATTTCCACCTTCCCTAGGTAGATCTGCATGTCCACCAGTCAGATTGTCAGCACCCTTTCACTTTTGTGAGGAACCTTCCCCTCCAGCTGCGTGAAGGCAGTGAATAGAACTCACTTGACAGAGGCTATGAACGCGTGTTCATGTAAAAGCATTTCGACAGGGAGGCCTAATTCTGCCCACCCTCTGTATGTTCAGGTCTTTTATGGGGCGGGGTATGCGTTTTTAGGCTTAAATAATGTTGTCGGCCATCCTTTTCTTATCTTTGTTGCAACATTGCTTTGTTGTTCGACTAATTAACTGGTGTAAACAGTTGTTTTAATGATAATTGCTGGAGAGTCTTAGTGAAAGGGCTCAATTATTATTGTTTCCTTGGGTTCCGAGCGGAACATAGGGCTTCAACAGCACATTTCCACTTCGTCCTGTTCTCTGAGGTCCACTTTGGGTGACTTCACAGTCTCTCATCTCCTCTCACGATCCACTCCATATCACCTTCGAACGCCAAAAGAGTTGTTTCCCATTCGGGTTCCACCCAAGTGAAGGCCTAGCGCGCTATGTCATTCTGTAATCTCCTCAGAGTGTGTCCAATCCATCTCCATTTTCTTCGCCATATCTGTCAAATGATTTGTTCTTGGTTGTTTTTTTTCCCATAGTTTCTCATCATCGTTCAAATTCTGAATATCATTACTCCTCATTAAATCGTTCCTTTTTCCTACCCATCGTTGTTCTTTCTAGTTTCATTACATTCCCATCTTCTTTTCTAGTGTCTATTTCTACAGAGTATTACAAAATAAGTTGGTTTACATATGCGCAAAGTTCTTAGTTGATTTGTCAGTTAGTTTGTTGATCCGTTCCAAATGATTTCACTGTATATGAATTTATACTTTTGTCTGTATTAGCTTTGTGACTTGTATTTTCACCAAGTAATGTTTTAGTTTGTTTCTCTTCAAAATTCGTTATATTCAGATTTCCAGTGTTAACTGAAAGTGTGAACCAAATCAGGGCTGAATAAATCACAACTTCTAGGCTTATACTGAACACATGGTACATTTTGAAACCCAGGCAAAATGATTGATGAGAATGTACAAGGTGAAAGAAACAGTCCATGTTTTCCAAGTACTACTTATTCAGAGTCAATTTTGTTTTTACAGCTGCTTTTATTTGTCTCTTCCGACAAAAATATTTTACCTTTTGAAGACATGAAAAGACTAGCTGTCTTTGATCATAGGTGCATGCGTTCTATCTTCCGTGTGAAGTGGCATAATAGGGTGAGCAATATTGAGGTTAGGCGTCGAGTGCTAGGTAAGGAGGGGAAATCAATCGACGAGGCTGTGAAGCTACATCGACTGAGACGGTTAGGACATGTGTTACGTATGCCTAGCCATCGCCTTCCTCGACTGACGGGCAATGTTAGCTGACATAGGGTCAGGCTGGAAAAGAGCTAGTGGTGGTCAAACCAAAACATGACTTCATCAGTCAATGAAATCCACAACAGTTAGTTTAAGCCAGCCACGTAGGAAGGTGTAGACTTCCTGGTTGGGGTCCTCGGGACGGTAAACACCAATGCCTGGAGACAATCGGTGATATGGCTCAAAATCGTTCTCAATGGCGCAGATGCATCCACTCCTTGTGACTTATGATTTCCAATGAAACTGTATTGTTCTTCGATATTACTATTCCTTTTGTCTCATATCCCTGTCTGCTGTCTCTGTTTTGCATTTCTTCTACTTTCTTCTCTTGCTTTGTGTGCTACATGGAGTGTGGTGACTTGAACTGCTGCACATCGGTGCAAAGTTCTATGTTGAAACAGGCAGACAGACAGACAGATTTTACCTTTTACTATTTACTTAGTCGTCACACGAATTTGTACATCATTGGAAAATGATATCAAATTAGTTATCAGTAAAAGATATAATTTAAAATGAGAATAACGTGGTTCGCTCGGGAATAACCACCATAGTTTCTATTGAAAACTTAATGAAGCAGCACTAGTTTCCCAGAATAACTCCTAGGAATGTGAGGAAAATGATATTCTGAAATATTTATTGAAGTCACTGTATTCTGACTACTTAAATTAGTTTTAACTTCAGAACTTCAAAGAAAAATTAGCTCACATATGATAGGGATATTATCATTATTTTTCATTTCTTGCTTTCCGAGTTGACAATAGGGCTTTAGCTACACATCTCCATTTCACTATCATTTCTGCAGCCCTCTTTAGCTGACTCTACGATTGCCCATTGGCTTTCATTCCCTTCTCACACGATCTTCTCCGTGTGGCTGTGGGACGCGTAACTTGTGGTTTCTCATTTGGGTCCCACTCGAGGACCGGTCGCTTGATGTCACTCAACGGTGTCCTCAGCGTATGTTCAGTCCATCTCTATTTCCTTCGGCCTAGTTCTTTGTTGTTCTGTTGCTAGAGTTCCTTGTTGCTAATCCTTTCTCGGCGGTCATCTGATTCCCGGTATCAAGTGAAGACAGATGTTGGTGAAAGTCTGAAACCTGTTTTGTGACGCTCACTAGAAGCATTGACGTGATATTAGTGTTGGAAGTCCGTATCTTGTTCCTTATGTTGAGTGTAGTAGATTTTCACACTGATTTCAGATTAATAAATGTCTGTCTTGCTTTTCCAATTCTAACTGGCTTTAACATCCTCATCCGTGCCGCCTGTATTCGGAATGATGCTGCATGGATAAGTGAAAGGGGTGACGTCCTTCAAATTTCTTCCGTTGGTGGCGATTGATGCTTGTTGTTGTTGGTTAGGTGTCTCCACCACCTCTGTCTTCTGTATGTTCACCTGGAGTCCTGATATTTATCAAATTACACTAAACAGAGGTGGAAGTAAACTTTCACAGAATTCGATTATTTGCGTGAGAAAAAAATCTCAAGCTGTGTTTTCATTACTTTCTGTTCTAGGCTTTGTCTCATGCTACCTGACGTATGTGATGCAATTTATCTTGAAAACGCCTCGAAGTACAATGCACCACTATTCACCAACCAATCACAAATATACATCCAGTAGCTAAAATTTGTAGGTTGACCTTATCACTTCTTAATCTTTAGTATAAAACGCTTTATTGGATGTACGATATGTATTCGTGCAATCAAATCTAGAATGGGAACATAATTTCATCCATTGACTGTTGTTTATTGTGTAGCAATGACTAATGATATGCTTTTCCGTCAATTGCAATTAAATCTACAGAGATAACAGTAATCAACCACAGACTATATGTTCATCTACAGCGAGTCAGTCATTGAACTCAGCTTAATAGTGCTCATAAACATTAAGGACCTTCTGAAAGTTGTTTGAGTCAATGTATACTACTTTGACCTTCGATCTCATTGATGAAAGTCTTTCTTTTTACGTTTTATTCAGCATTTACATGAAAATATAAAAATAGAAGACTTTAGTTATTCTTAGTAATTCAACTCGGTTATTAATGTTTTCATTAGCTCTTATTGATATCAAAATGACTATTGAAGATATTATACTTATTCTCGGGAAAGTGTTCTCCAGAGCGATACTTTTTATTCTAAACCATTCAACGATAGTTTACACATTGTCAGTGCAGTTTTCTTACTGATGAGCCTGTGAATTCATCATAATGCTTAGTCTTTGACTGATTGACATTACTTCCCTTAAATTTCACGTTTTAGTTTGTAGGGATTTCATTGATTTCAAGTTTGATCACGGATTGATATCAGTCAGAGAATCATTGAAAGCCAGGGAGTACTGGATGGTTGTTTTGTCCTAGTTTGGGACTCTTCAATAGTACGCGCCCATGATCCCACGTGGACTCAATGGTAGCAATCAACAATATATTAAGGTACATAAATTATGAGATTATGTAAGTCATTGGTAAACTGTCAATACATAAACGAGATATGGAGAAATATTGTGAGTTAAGCTCATTTGATTAGATATAAGACGTATGAAGCATGAAGTTTATTAAATGATGGTGTAAATAAGAGTGAAAACAAATCGACACTTACATTTAATAAACGATGACGTAATCAACTATAGTTAAATGCTGAGTTACCAAAGTAGAAGAAGACTTATTGCAGCTTTCATTCGTTGTTTAGCGATGACCTCTGCAAATTTCAAGAGATTTGAACTTGATTATTTGTCTTTTTATTTTGACAGAATTCAAGATATTTACCTGTCCTCTGTCATTCAGGTGTCTCATGACTACACTGTTCAAAGATTTACTTCCTCTTAATTGTAGACTTTCCGGTATGTGTTCAAGAAATCTAAGATACGCCCTTCTTTCTGTTCTTCCAATGTATGTGTAGTAGAATTATTGAATTTCAGTATTTAGCTCGTATGCGGCTGAGAAAATTCCGATGAAAAAGACAATGGATCCGTTTTATGCTACACCATGTGCTGTTATTGCTTCGTTCGAATAAAATTCTGCTGCTGGACATTATAGCGCACATTTTATTTTGGTGTTAGATGCCTACAGATAGTATTGAATTACTAATAATAGCTTAAAGAAATTTGTAACTCAAGAAAAGGAAGCTGAATAGCACTTTCTCTTCACTTGTGAACCCTTACTATATTTCAACTCTAGTCATTTTCATAAAGACGCTTGGGACAGTCAATCATGTAGAACACCCTAATTACTTTGTTTCTATCTCACTTGGATTTATACAAATACAGTTTTAAGATGTGAGAAAACATTTTAATGAAGTCGAAAAAACAGCCACTTAGAAGGTCGCCATTATCGTTTTGAAATGTAAAGTCGTAGTAATCAACTATGATTTGAATCTGTTGGTTTTGAAAAAAAGCTAATTACTTAATTTTTTAGTATACTTTACTAATAATTGTTAAATATGACTTTGCTGTTATTTCAGATATTTCTCCTGTGCAATAAAATCTAACGCCTAATGACTGATGTCAGTTCAAGTTTAATTCATTGGAATGAGAAAGAAATTTTACCGAGGGGGATTTTTCTTACTTCTTCTGGATCCGGTGGAGATCGTCTTCTCTTCTGGCAGTCTTCGTTAGCAAGTAATCCTAGTAAAGTGTACGATGTGAAAAAAGATCAATCTACAAGCGATAATAGCTGTTCATCTAATGTTGGCGCTTCTTTTAATCAGGAAACTGAATTATCAAAGTAATTCTAAATTATATTGTGTTGTTACATCCTATTTTTTAATGTTGTGAACTAGAATGATTGTTTTTAATTGTTAGTGAATAGAGTATAACAAATGCTTTTGTGGTTCACTGGTAGAATGCTCGTCATCCACTCACGTGGGCCGGGTTCGATTCCCGGTTGATGCACTCCTCTCAGCTGTTAGTAAGCTCATTAAAGAGGAGGTTAGCAACTACACACCGTAAAAGCAACACAACTGCTACTGGAACTTCACAGCCCAAGCTTTAAGTCTTATATTTCACTTGGAGCTCAAAAGAACGGGAAAAACAGTATTCATGAAAAATACCCATCCAGACGTGAATTTAAGAACAAACAGTTCAGTAAAGAGTCTCTTTTTGCTTAATCCATTCACTTAGCTGTACAACACTAGTCACTCAATACAGAAAATCCTGATATATGTACACAGAAGGAGCTTATCTAACCCCTCCTTCTGCTTTGGGTATAATTTCGAGTTCAACTTTTTTGTTATTATTACTATTTTTTAAAATTTTGTATTATATTTTAGTAACATCATTTCTCTTAACTAACCATTTATTTACTCTTTCTGCCTACTACATAATTCATTATGGACATTTGTCTCCATGATCTTTCATTAACACCTTATTTTTCTGGACGTCTTTCATATTGCGTAACCCTAGTTAAAACTTATTAATCTTCACACACAACCCCCCCATTCTAGTTACAATGTGATTATTCATCACATTTTGCGAAACATTTTGGTGTCGTAAACAATAACCCTAACTAATTTTTATTTTTGTCTGGGAGACCTAATGTAAACACGCATACAAAATTAATCATGTATATAATTGCGATTGTACAGTTAAGCAAATGAATTCGCCGAAACGCGACTCTTCGCTGAACTGTTTGTTCTTAAAAAAAATAGTTTATCAAGATATCGCCTGACTTTCCTCTTATCCAGGGAGTACTTTTAGCAGAGTATAACATCACAATCAGTACTAAATTACTAGCTTAACAGACAATATGCTTTTTATCTGAAGCTAACTGCCATTATGAAATGGTATCAGTTAAAGAACTAGAAAGTATCTGATGGCTATATACTCCTTGTTCTCTCTTTTCAGAGAATGTTGGTGTACTCTACAACTGATTTAACCTGTTATTCACTGACTTCAAGCATCAAGATCTATAAAATCACTAACACAGAAATGAAATTTGAGTTTTAATAAACTAGTCGTTGTCTTAACATGCTTACTTAAATTGACTTTTTCTCATAGACACTTTACAAAATGGTTTTCACTTGTCACTAAATTAAACTTGAGCTTTCTTAAAAATACCTATTTACCGAGTGCTGACAGTTTGTTTTGGACTGAATAGTGTTCTTGGATTAAATCCTAAGTGTAGTAAGGAAGATTAAGCGTCACCTCTTTTAAGTGCTGTGGTGTTACTTAGTGATGGAGAGTGTTTCACTCTTAAAATAAAAGATAATATAGTAATTCACAGAGTCTTATATGATACATTAATTGGGTTGGGTGCATATCGAAAAACTATTGTTCATCAGTATAGAAATAGGATCATTCTACTAACTTTAAAGTAATCATAGTTTAATTGGTGGATGGTAACTAGCAGTGGAATCCAGGATGCGAATTTCGTCCTATTTGGGACTCGTCGTCTGGATGGTGCCCCCCACCGAGGCTGGAACCGGCCCATGACCAGACATCGTTGAAGCATCTGCACAAGGAGCCGACATGTCAACCTGAGACGGAGTACTTCGATCCAATCAATCGACGGGAAAATCTAAATTGAATTAAATAATCATAGTGTAGTTCATTTCAGTCACCATGTAGATGAAAACTGTAAGCACTATTGGAATTTATTCTGCTTTGTTCTTCTGTGTGTTTAGAATATTTCATTATTGGTATTGTGAATGATTGAGTGATTCCTGCGGATTAGTTGTTATAACTTGTGGTCTCTGTGTAATAATCCAGTTCCATTAGTTTTATTGGATAGAAGAAATCTAGTTATTCATAACTTCTTTTAGTGTCGAATTATTAAGTAGCCGGTGTCGGTGACTTAGTGGCAGAATACTCGCCAACCACGCAGGTGGTTTGGGGTTCGATCCCCGGCCGACGCACTCCTTTACCTCAATAAGCTGGTGATAAGACTGGTAAAGAGGAAAGGTTGGGCGTGAGGCTAGCAACCCCACCCTGTAAAAATAAACACTACTGCTACCGAAACTTCAAGGCTCTAGGTTGGAACCCTATTTTCCTCTGGGAACGTAAAGGAATAAAATAATAATACTGATATTAAGTAGGCATCATCTATTTATTTTTAATTGTCTCATCACATTGCTTGTCTTCCTAAGCTGATTAATTTAATCTGTTTAGAAATTTAACGTCTTTTCACTAAAACCATTGAAATTAGTTTAAAAACAAATGATTCGCCGAATGCCCTTCTAATAGGCTACAGACTTCCATCAATACCTGCCTCCACTCGATACTGTAGATAAGATGATGGGCCAGAGAAAATAAGCAACAGAAGGCTTTAGTAGACAGCGAATCAGCCAAGAATATACTGTTGCCCGACGAATATGCAAAAGTAAGTGGTGATGGATTGGACGAATGCTGAAGAGACTGTTGAGGGACATAACACACCAAATCCTAGATTGAAACCTGAATGGGTGAGGGGACTGGGAGTTAACATGGAGAAGATCAAATAAAGGTAGAAATGAAAGCTTGTGGGCGTCCATGGAGCCAGCTCAAAGTGATAACAGGAAAATGAGTAAAATAACGATGTGCTGCTAAAGCTTTCAGTTCCATTCAGAACACAAGGAATCAATAGTAATAACAATGTCATTTGTAAGGCACAAATTCGTAAATATGTTGGAACTCCTTAGCTGGAGTCCATTGTCATTTGAAACATGATGAACAGTAATTCCTTCAGTTGTCTGCCCTTCCTTGTGAATGAAATGATACTTTTAAGTGTATTTTGTCATACAATTTATAAACAAGAAAGAACAGAGGTAATAAGTTATACTTGTTATCTATTTAACTTTCTTATCTGTCCTATTCTGACTGCTTTGTTTAAGGCCTTGTTTTTCGCGTTATTCAATTTACGAAAACAGTATCTCAATTTTTTTTATGAATATCGTCTTTGTGGTCTATAACTGAACACAACATCTACCTTTTCATAGTATTGGGTCGCGCACCACCATTAATATATAATTCGACTTCTTTCCAATTTTCATCTTTCTCAATTTTTCCTTATTTTTAACAACAGTAAGCATCCTAACAATTAAAAGCGATGATCATTCGATTTATGTGTGCGTCGGTGGCATAGTGGTTAGGACGCTCGCCGACCATGCACATGGTCCGGGGTTCGATCCCCGGCCGACGCACTCCTTTACCTCGCTAAGCCAGAAATAATGTTGTTGAAGAGGAAAGGTTGGGCATGGGACTGGCAACCCCATCCTGTAAAATAAACACTGCTAAAGAAACTTGAAGCCACTAGCTTGAAGCCCTATGTTCCACTGGGGAACGTGAAGGAAAAGAAAATTCGATTTATGTCGGTTTTCTGATTACAAATATACATATATGTTTTTATTCCTTTACGTTCCCAGTGGATCATAAGGCTTCAAACTAGAGCTTTGAAGTTTCAGTATCAGTGGCGTTTATTTTTACAGGGTGGGGTTGCTAGCCTCATGCCCAACCTTTCCTCTTTACCAGTCTTATTACTGGTTTGGTGAGTACTCCAATTTTGATTGCACCGATACATTTTGCCTGCTAACATTCATTTTCTTTGCATATTTCTTTTAGAGATCATACGGCATCTGTCTCAAGTCTAACAACACTGTCGACTACTCCTAGTCCCAAGATAAAAAATCCAGCTAATATCAATAATCGAGGTCCTGTCAGTACTAGTGAAAATCCGTTCGCACTCAGTGTAAGTAGTGTATGTATAATATGTATTACTAAATATATTAAGATTATCTAATAATTTCCGCGGAGTATAACATCCTGTTTGACTTCACCTCGCTCTAACAGTGTCCTATGAAACTCATTGTTCCGTTTGTTTTCAGGTTAATTTAAATTTTTCTGTTGATTTATTACGTTGGAATGAAATGCTCAGTCTCTCTGCTGACATGTTGGCTCCTAGTGCGGACGCTCCGACGATATCTAAGGAGTAACATGAAGTCTGCAGAGGCTGAACACCTCGGTCGGATCAATCAAGGAGAGAATCAAAATTGAATTAAAAAAGGATAATAACTGATACCTGTTGCCCAGTAGATAGTGCTTCGGCGTCTGAAACAGTGAGTGCAGGGTTGGGTTTGAGTGGAACACTATCACTCACTGGGAGTGCAGGTGCATTCAGTGATAAGTCCCAAATCAGACGCAGTATGCATCCTGGATTCCACTGCTAGACACCATCAACCAAAATAATATGGCTCCGTTATTTTATGAGTAGTTGAATTCTCATTAGGATGAACGATTTGATGATAAAAACCCTTCATTTTAAAATAAAGGGAAAGAAATTCAAGTGTGGGGAAGACGAAAAAGTGCGCATATTGGAAGTTTTGATTTTAGAAGGCAATATTTACAAACTATTCTCAACAGAAATAATTTTCAAGTGTTGGTTTGTAGGGATTTGATTGGTTACAGGATTTTCATCATGAGCTGACATCGATTAGAGAACCATTGGAAGACCTGGGAGTACTGAACAGCTGTTTCGTCCTAGTTTGGGACTCTTCATCAGTACGCACCCACTGGGATTTGAACCCGGTGATAAGTGATTTGAATTGTATGTTAATGGCTGTCTGTAGCTATAAATATCTTTGTATTCCCAATGATTACGCAATCGTTGTCATAACCCTAACTCCAGGAAGCGAGATCTTTATTGAAATGGCAATCTTTCGTCCAGAAGCTGATAAAGGCTTTCCTAGATTGTTCAAAGTAGTATTCAAAGGAAGCCTACTGGTAATGAGTTGGCTTACTGTGATGGATAGTGTGCTAATTTGAAATATTTATAGCTGTTGTGATAGAAAGTAACTATTTGAAAACAGTAAAATTGACTGCAACATCGTTTGTTAGTGAGAATGTATAATAAATATAAGCATAATACTTTGATAAAGCTATTAGCATTAAATAGCGAAACGTCAGTAAAAACAATATCGTTTTGTTTTTCATTCATTGGGAAATACAAAAACCTTTATTATAATGAATATCATATACCCAATGCCCAAATTTTTTCAAACCGTTAAAAGTGAACTTGGTTTGGACATATATAAGCATAGTTTCGTAGATTGACATTGATGTAATATAGTGACGATTGTAATCGGAACAAAACATGCGTCACTGCATTATGTGAAATCAATTGGTTGGAGTTTGGCTTTAATCTACTTTATTCCTTCAGCTTTATTCATCGACCGATTACAGTTTCTGTACATATACTGGAAACTTTCAGTACTTGTGCATCATGAAGTGTCAGTTTTGGTTGTCTTATTCTCCTAATTTTGTTTTTTTAATATCAAAGTAGAATTTAAGTCTGATGATCTGTTTGTAATTTACTAGAAGGTATGGCGTGATGAGTATTTATTCACTGGAATCAAACTGTCGATTTATTCACATGTAGTCAAAACATAATTTCATCACCAGTTCCATTTACAATAATGACAGTCTGTATAGGGTGTACATAGTACTTGGTTATATTCGACTGGTATATCTTGGTTTCATGTTTGTCGTTTACATGATTGGATCTAAATGGAAGTCATCAGTAGTTATGTAACGGTAGGAGAAAAGAGACTTGGTAATGGCATGTCTATTTGGAATTTTGGTATCTCTGTATAGCGAAATTGTGTACACCTAATCTCCAAATCGTCATTTGCATAGGTCTTCCGTGTTGTGCTACTTCTTTCCTTCGTATTGTGTTTCTTTGTCTTCCATTTCACGTCTCCCATGTTTTGCCGTAATCCTGAATCATTTGCTATCTTTGATGTCGAATCTATCTCCTTGCTATCTGATATTTTTATGCCGATGAACATCTCTTTATATACTACTGATAAATCTTATCAGTAGAACATTCCACGGTTCTATTGTGGTTTTCTGGTATTTCGTGTTTACTGAGTAATAAAACAAAATATTAGAAATCAGGAACTTATAAAGTGCTTGAAAATGTATCCATGTTACTAAATGAACACTGTCAGTTTATTGTGTGTGTGTGTGTGTATGTACTGTAGTGTAGTGTCAATTTCTACAACCTTATTGTACTTAGCTTTATAATACTATATGGTAGCTAAACTAAACCTCAACTGTTTATATTATTTATTGTCATTATTCCCTGACGTGGTGGTCTGCTTAAATCTATGAATGAAAGATGTGACTTCCTTTAAATTTCTTCTCTGTGATGGTGATTGATGCTTGTTGTTGTTGCTGTTGGTTAGGTATCTTTATCACTTTTGTCTTCTCTGTGTTTACTTGTCTTCGATGCTTCTTCTGCTAACTTGTCGGTTTTCGCCTGTAGATCTTCGAGTTTGTGTGATGTTAGACATAACTCGTTAACTGAATGGTAGCCAGATTAAACCACAACTAAAGATAATTTGAAATAATCTAAATACAGTTACTTTATCCTTCTATTCATTGTTTGAGTAGATGATCACACTGAAAATACCAGTTATCAGCATGAATATGCTCTTTTTCAGTACGTTTATTATATTTTATTTCTGATTACTAGGATGAGTCATGTGACAATCGGTATTTCATGGAGGATTTCATCATGAGCTGACGTCAGTTAGAGAACCACTGGAAAACCTGGGAGTACTGGACAACTGTTTCGTCCTGGTTTGGGACTCTTCATCAGTACGCGCCCACCGGGATTCGAACCCAGGACCTTCTGGTTACAAGGCTAGCGAGCTCGTAGACCATTGAGACACTGAGACCCGATCCAATGGTCCTTGAATTCTAACTTCTGCCAATTCACGACATAGCGTGACCATTTCACAATGTCTTCTTCGATGAGTTACTGCCTCATCTTCAACCTGCTGTACCCTACTGGTCACGGCTTCCCACTAGAACCCCAGGTTAACTGCCTGAATAGGGCCAGTCACTAGTGAGCATCAGATTAATTTTCAAGTATTGGTTTAGTAGGGATTTTGTTTGATTGCATGGAGGATTTCATTTATCCTCGCTTCCTAACTGTTCTTCTCCTTACCTTTACAATAATGCTAAGTTGATTTTCAAGTACTCGTTTGCGTGAGTTTGATTGTTTTCAAGTTAGATAACGGATTGATATCAGTTGGAGAACTACTGAAAGCTAGGGAGCATTGAACGGCTGTTTCTCCTACTCCTATGACCCCACCGAGGATCGAACCCAGGACCTTCAGGTTATGAGGTGAGGTGGTCGTTGACTGTTCAGCAACTGGGACGGATTCTATTGGCCCATGAATCCTAACTCCTGCCTATTCGTAATACATAGCGCTACCACCAGTCAGTGTCATTGGCGAGTATTTACCCTCGCACATGGTCACGACTTCTCAATAGAACTGCAGGCAACTTCATTCTGTAGTCGTTAGTCACTTTTCAAGTATTCGTTTGCGGGGATTCGATTGGTTAATTTTGTTAGACGACACTTTCTACTCACTGTTGTTATTATTATTATCATGCACAAATGTATTTATTTTTTTAAATTACTAAGTTTCATCACTTTTCAGATTACGATTTTTCTTATTTGCCATTTTCTTAAGTTTATTTTTATCATTTTGTTTTTCGTTTTTTAGTTAATCTCAGATCGTACAATATCATGTAATGAAACCACTCTAGGCAACAGTCCTATTTCCAGTGGGCTTAATCCAAACTTTATTGGTTCATCAGTTGATCGTACATTGAATAATTGTCCAACTATCTGTTCAAATATTACTCCTAGTCTGTGTAATACTAGTACAATGTCTTCAAATAATCCTGTCGGCAATGTTACAACAAATCTGTCTACCTCTAATATAGTTCTTGGCGGTATTTATTCAACAGACTCATCATTACAAGTTCCTTCGAGTGAATCACCTTTAATTGGTAATTTAGGCATCTCGAATATAGAAGGTATTCCTGCAAATGTTCTGCTCAGCCTTCTACACCAACAAACTCAAGCACTTCAACGTAAAATTTATATCAAGGTGATTTTTAGTCATTTTAAGTGATATATGAGTTTGGTGTAGCGGATAATATATTCATCTTTCAATGATGATTGTAGATTTTTTTAAACATGAATTTCACATTATTCAATTTTATTGGTTAATTTTCCATTCTTTTGATTTGACTCTTTCTGTTATTATCTTGGAGGAGATTCGTTCCCATTGCATAAGAGCCTTTGATGCTATTGTTGAAATCATGGTAGCCACTGTCTCAGTGTAGTTGTGGTTGTCATCTGGGTGGATTATTGACTCTCCAGTTAGCAATTTGGAGAGTCCACTTCCATTCCACCTGCTCTCACAGATTTCTAGCACTTCTGTGCCACATCTCATTTCATTAGTAATCTGTGCAACTTTCCCAGCCTCGAACATCGTGTGAACATTCCATGTCGCCATGCTTATTTGTGCTTTCGTCGAAAGAAGACACATCGTTTGAGTGGTTTGCCGAAGGCTTCCACCAACAACAGCAAGCACCTATCACTATCAATGGGAGAAATCCAAAGGAATAAATCCCTCCCACTTATCTAGGCAGTATCATTGCAACTACAGTCGGTACGGAGGAGGATGCCAAAGCGAGTCAGGATCAGATTATTATTATGTTATTATTATTTCCTTTAATTCATAGAGGAACATAGGGCTTCAGCCGCATTTCCCCATTGCGTTCGGTTCTTAGCCAACGTTTTCACCTGGCTCCACGTCTGCCCGCATGCTTTCATCTCTTCTTCACATGACCTCCTCTATGTCACCCTCGCACTGACGAACAACTCGCCGCTTCGCATACGGGTTCCACTCGAGCGATGGCCTGGCTTGTGATGTCACTTGATGGTTTTCTCAGAGTATGGCCAATCCACCTCCATTTCTTCCTGTTTATTTGTTGCACAATCGGTTCCTGCTGTGTTGGTTCGCTCCCAGAGATCCCTGTTGCTGATCTTTTCTGGCCGGCCATCTGATATTGAGCGAAGTGGTTTTCGTGAAACGCCAAATCTCTGATCTGTATAGTAGTACTGACTTCACATTGGAGTTGAAAATCCGCATCTTATTTTTCATGCTGAGTGCTGTTGATCTCCACACAACCTCGAGAGTAATGAAAGCTTGCCTTGCTTTCCCGATCCTTGCTTTGATATCCTCATCAGTTCCACCTGTAGTTGAAACGATGCTTCCCAGGTCGGTAGGTGAAGGAGGTTGCTTCTTTCAGATTTCTCCCATTTATGCTGATTGTTGTCTGCTGTTGTCGCCGTTGCTGTTCACCGGGTATCTTCATCACCTCAGTTTTCTCTATGTTCACCTGAAGTCCTATCTTCTCCGGATGCTTCTTCTGCCAACTTGTTGCTCTTCATTTGCATATCTTCCAGTTTGTGGAAAGTCAGACATACATCATCGGCGAAGTCCAGATCTTCCAAGTCTTTTGTGTGGGTCCATTTTATGCCTATCTCCTCGTTGCCCGCTGTCTGTCGCATTATCCACCCTACCACAATCAGGAAAATCATTGGAGACACTAGGCAGCCTTATCTTACTCCCATCTTCACTTCGAAGGATTCCGTGAATTTCCCGTTGTGGATTACTTGGCATGCAGCATTGTCGTACAGCTGCTGGATGAGATGTATAATTGTCAGTGGCACACCATAGTAGCGAAGTAGTTTCCAAATCACCTCTCGATCGACGCTGTCAAAGGCCTTTTCAAAGTCGATGAAGTTGAGATAGAGAGGTGACTGCCACTCCAAGCTTTGTTCAATGATGATCCGTAATGTGGCGATCTGATCAATGCATGACTTGTTTCTCCTGAATCCAGCCTGTTCCGGTCGAAGTTTTTCATCCAGGGCATGTTTGATTCTCTCCAGGATGATGCGGCTTAGTATTTTGCTTGGGATGGATAGGAGCATAATTCCGCGCCAATTCTTGCATTGACTTAAATCTCCATTCTTTGGCAGCTTGAATAGGTAGCCTTTCTTCCAATCCTCAGGTACCTTGCCCTCTTTCTACACCTTCTCCAGTAGTGGTGTCATCAAGTCCGCTGATGTCTCTAAGTCCATTTTCACTGCTTCTGCGGGGATTCCGTCTGGTCCTGCTGCTTTTCCAGTTTTCAGCGTCTTTGTTGCCTTCAGGATTTCCGTTTTCGTCGGAGGGTTCATATCCACTGGTAGTTCTTCTTCCGCTGTTGGTATTATTGGTTGTCCATTAGTCATTGGTTTCCCAATGGTTCTTTAACTGATGTCAGTTCTTGATCAAAGTTGAAACATATCAAATCCCTGCAAACAAATTCTTGAGAATAATCTTCAATAATTGTTATTGCAAGTAATGATGTGGAATATGGTACTCACCAATCACTTTCACGTATGTGAACCACATCTATTATACCAAGGTTAATGATTCCCATGATAATTAAAATGCTGATTACTGAACAAAGAATGCTGTTCTCGATAACTTCATCTTCGGGTTCGATATATATCTATTTTATATGAATGGTAAGTTTGTGTATATCGGTTAAATAAATATTTTTTGCAAAACGAACCACTAAATAATAATAATAATGGTTAACCTACTTGTGTTTAACTCTTCCTATTATTTTTATTACTATTAATCAAGCATATCTCCTCACCTACATATTCCTTGTTCACTATTCTTCTTCACAGTTAGAAAACAGTATATTTGTTGGAGCTGCATTCAACTTATCTCCATCGGACACAGAAGGTATTGGCCTCAGCGAAGACACTGATGACTCGAATGCAAAGAGCTCTGATGGTGAATCACTTCGTACAACAACAGGTGCAGCTCATACTATGATTAGTTTTACTGTTGGCTTTCTTATGGATTCATCTGCACCACCTTCTGTATTATCTTATCTTACTGAATTATCCAGATTGGTAAGTAGTATAATGAAAAGAAAAAGAATTTTCTGAACAGCGATTTTCTGGACTTCAATAGAGTTAGTTAACTTTTACTGACCTACCTCAATCCATGTATTCATTGTTTTTTTTCTGACAGTGGACTGAGTTATTTCGAAATTTTGCATTGTCAGTTAATCGTTTAGATTATCGGATTTTGAAGGGATTTGGGTACATTTCAATGTAGATTTCGTCAAGAATCAACACCAGTTAGAGATCATTGAAAATCATGGATCACTGAACATCTGTTTCAACCCAGATTGAGACTCTTCAGAGTTGCGCGCCCACGAGCTAAGTCCCCTTAACCCTAAGGTTTAGGGTTGGAAACCTGATGGAGTCGTGGGTGTACACTGATGAAGAGTTCCAATCTAGGATGAAACAGCTGTCCAGTATACTCTCTGGTTTTCAGTGATCTCTATCTGGTGCTTGTTCGTGAAGAAACCCACATTGAAACTAATCATTTAACTGTATAGTGATTTTTTTGGATAATCATAAGCTTGCAGTGACAATACTTTCTATGATAATTAAATATGAGTATTAGCCTAAACTATATCATATCATAGAACAGTTAAATGTAGATTACCAGTCAAATTGTCAAATAGAATAATTATAGAAGCTTTATGTTACTCAGATATAATTCCAGAATAGTGTTGAGTTTCATGAGGGTAAATAATTTCAGTCACCAGGGGAATTCATCAAAGTATTCGTAGGATAGATTGTTCTAGATATCTGATTTGTTTTGAATCGGTTCTTCTAAACACTAAGTACGTTTTTTGAACTTCTGTTACGCAATGGTATAGATGAACAATCTACAGATCATCTTTGGGGATATCCTTTGCATTTTTCATCCCGGTTAACATTATATATTATTCTATTTTAATAGTAATGTGAATTGTGACAAAATATCTGTGATTATAATAATAGTTAAACATTAAACGATCAAGAATGGGTTATGTGCTTTATGAAATGGTTCATGGAATGTTTAAACCTTATTATTATTTTCTTTTTATCCCTTTGCGTTCTCAGTGAAACTTAGGGCTTCAATAATTAATTTTTTTATCATAGCTTGATTCCACACCGTATTTTTGGTACAAGTATGGAATTTTCAGCATGTGATACCGGTAGCCGAAATTTTGCAGACCGACCATTGATATCGGGTATGCTTCGGCCGGCGATCTAACCCCGGACCATGTGCATAGCCAACGAGAGTCCTAACCGCTGTGCCACCGACGCACATAAACCCAGAGCTAGAGCTTTGAAGTTTCGGTAGCAGTGGTGTTTATTTTTACGGAATGGGGTTGCTAGCCTCATGCCCAACCTTCCCTCTTTACTAGTCTTATTACTGGCTTAGTGAGGTAAAGGAGTGCGTTGGCCGTGGATCGAACTCCGGACCATCTGTGTGGTTGGTGAGCATTCTACCACTGTGCCAGCGACACACATAAACCTAATTAAGGCGGTGTAGAATTAATAAGATTAGCAGGCAATTCAAACACTACGCCAGAATATAAGAATCATAAATTAAACAAATAAGCATGTGACCAGTGAGATAATACCGAAATTAGTTCAGAGTGGAAATAATACTAACAATCGAAATAATAAAGAATGGATATACAAATTGTATAAATAGAACGGAAAATAAATGGGATCAAAGTAGAAATAAGGACCATAATAATTTAACGTAAACGGACTAAGGTCGTTTTATTTCATTTCGTGAAAGTGACCATATATATATATATATACGGTTAGAATATATGACTATCATAACACTTCCTAAGAGTTAGCACTTTTTATAAGTACGTCTTTTAAAAATGCTGTAATAGTGTAACGACAGAAGACAAGGGCCAGGCAACAGATCGTTTATTGAGAAAAATCAAGAGATATTTATAGATTTTTATGTGCATTATTATTAGCGTTATTGTTAGCAGAGAAACAACGTCTTCTGATTGGTTGTTTTCTTGCTGAAGGTTATTCTGTACTGCTTGTGACCGTTTCTTAGAAAGTTAAGCCATATATCTGCGAATCCTATTTGCACACGCTAAGTCTGCTGTGATTGGTTGGTGAGTTTCTCAAGGTTAATCTTTGTTATTAATTTTTCTCTACCGATCAGATACCTTGACGTATTTTCTACAATTTCGGCTTGCAGACAGCTCTCACCACAATAGTATTTCTCTCCTTAAAATTGAATTTTCTTTTCAGATTGGTTCCCAAATAAGACGTGCAGAATTAATGTTCAATTATCTTAGAGATCAAAGGGATATTATCACTTCTACACTAGAGAAATATTCTTATGTTGATGCTAATTCATGGCCTAGCAGTTCTACAACAGATCACAATATGAATAAGTATGGATCAGATAACATTAACACTAATAGACCGAGTCAATCATTCCCGAGTAAACGTCATGTGAAACTTTCTGAAGTGATAAATACTGAACGCGAAAATAGCCTGTCATCTCCACTGACAGATCATGATTCCAATGAAAATAAATCAACTTCACAGTTGAATGTAAATCAGTCAACGAATGAAAATATTTCTGCGAATAAAACCAACGATATGCATGATTATAATGATACGAAAAATGATGCAACCACTATGAATCCATTAGAACGATTAGTTCAGATATCTTCTTTATGCGCTGAACTTAAGAGTATACTTGATTCAATTTGTAAAACTGGTCATGTAAATGTCAAGGTAAGTGAAATTATAATTTATATATAAATATACATTATTGACACCTCGGACGTTGAACGAAATATTCCCATATTGAATTATAAGAAAAAGACGTAAACAGCGAAGAAGATTTTCTTTTCTACGATCCATTTTCATAAGCTGTACAATCGTAGTTATATTTTACAAAAAAATCACAAGACCAATCAAGTACTGGTAAAATTTGTCCTCGAAAAATGGATTGCGTAATGTAAGGTGTAACCTTGAGGGAGTAACTAATTGTAAGTTAGAAAAGAGGTAGAAGTTGACCTGACGTAATAAGTGTGAGAAAATGACTAATCAGTATGATTGTGTAAAATGGACAGGAACTGGCGGAAAGAAGATAAAGTGTTTTTTAAAATCTGTATGGAAATGCAATGTTATTAATAAACAGTAATAGAGTGCTAATACAACATGGATGAGCGGAATAATATTGACAATGAAATAATAATAACAATAATAGTAAGCGAACATAATAGTAAAGAAGCAGAATTATAGTAAGAACTTTACTCTGGCCACGGTAGAGCGAGTGAATGTATGTAGTGCTTTGGAATGCAGACGTCCGGTTCCATATCCTAAATAGCTAATGATTCAGCTATGTACAGATGGCGTATTCGAAGTCCTTTCGTACGATATTAAGGAGCTCTGTATAGCACTGTGAAGCATTAATTCTTGGGTGCTCGATGTCCTGAGTTGACAGGGTGTTCGAGGATGGAACTGCTAGTATTCTTCTTTTCTCCTCGGGCTAGCCAAGCTGAACAGTGTTCCAGAATATGTTTGTGGAGTTGACGTTGCGTACGACCTATATACTTTACTCCCCACGAAAAAGTAAACCGATAAGTACACATTGAGATGGCCAAAGGCGGTATCTTATCCTTAACTTTAGACTGGATTAATTGTCTGCTGGAAAATGTAATACGTAAGGTGGTTGCTTGAACTCAAACGTTGGTTGGCTAAGCGCCGAGTTCATCTGCATTCCTTTACGTTCGCAGTGGAACATGGGGCTTAAAGCTTTTGAAGTCTAGCAATGAAGACGGTAAGCAACAAGCGACTCTGCCAGAGGGTAAGTTAGCGATTTACTGTTCAATAAATATGCGTAAGGAAGTGGAAATAGGTTTCTAAGGATACACTAAAGTGACTTCAAACTCTGGGCGCTCCCTTGAGTGGAACATGAATAAGAATTGATAGATTGATCTTCCAAATGCAACATAGAAGAGATCATATGAAAGGAATACGAAAGATTATGAGCAGTCGTGAAAGTGGTTGAAAGTAGTGGCAGAAAACCAATCGCATAAAGATGTGTCGCCAAATCCTTATGTTCCATTCGGAACTGATGGGATAAATAGCTAGTGCATGCCAATCTGAAAGCGAATATACATTATTCAAGCAGCCTCCAAATTGCACAGTAGATTTACTTGGATATTTTTCTGTACGATGGATATTGGATGTAGCTGCAATCTCTCACATTTATGTTTTTTTCATTCTTTATGTTCCGAGTGGAACATAGAGCTTCAAGCTTTGAAGTTTCAGTAGTGGTGGTATTGTTTTCATGGAGCGGAATTGTTTGTCTCACACCCAGTCTTCCCTATTACTACCATCTATTAAACCAAGAGAGGTTTTGGAATGTGTCGATTGGGAATCGAACCTTAACCTTCCGCCTTGCTGGTGAGCATTCTACTTACCGTTGAACTACCGACGCCGAGTTAGTTTCACTTTCATTTTGCAAACTTCGAACGACAAACTTGAGTGTCTTGTCGCGCGTACATTGTGCATAGTATTTTTGTTGTTATTGAAGAATTAACAAACACATGGACCATTGGATCGGGTCCCGGTGGCTTAATGGTATACGAGCTCGCCTTGTAGCCAGAAGGTCCTGGGTTCGAATCCCGGTGGGTGCGTACTGATGAATTTATTTATTTTTATTTTGATTTACAGCTTGATTCCACACCGTATTTTCAGTACAAGTGTGGAATTTTCAGCATGGATATCGGTAGCCCAAATTCAGGCCGACCATAGATATCGGGTGTGCGCCGGCAGGGGATCGAACCCCGGACCATGTGCATGGTCGGCGAGAGTCCTAACCACTGTGCCACCGACTCCTGAACGAGGACGAAACAGCTGTCCAGTACTACCAGGTTTTCCAGTTGTTCTCTAACTAATGTCAGCTCATGATAAAAATCCTGTAACTAGTTGTCTTAATTTATTATGAGCTATAAAAATCAGTGGTCAGAGTTTTGTAGAGATGACAATAGATGTTCGTTATGAATATTCAGATGCTCACACTCCAGCTTATTGTCATTTAGGTAATACGGAGTTAATGAGAAAAAAAAATATTTAGAGTGTAAAAACTTTTCATGAAAATGTGAATATCAACATAATTTTAGAGAATTAATGAAATAAGCAGTACAAGAATCATTCGATGTTCAGTCAGTTATTTAACTGTAGAAATTGGACACCTTTCAAAACAGTCAGCAGGATAACAGGGATTCGTGCACAGGATAACAATTGAGATTTCAAGTGACGCTTAAATCTCAGTAGGGTCTGGAATATATATGACTTGTCGGTTTATCAAATTAGAACTTTGCACAAAGATGTATGAGATCAAGTTACAATAATTTGGAGAACCACATATGAAATTAGGGAAAAGAAGTATAGTGACAGTACTATATATATATATATATGTTTGGTTGTGTTCTCTGAACTGGTGGATTTCATTATGAAGCTTTCGTCGTCCTTCTAGACATCTTCAGCTCAAAGTGTATATTCATTAATATGCTATTAAGTGTACTTAAATTATTGAGTTAAACACACGACAATAATAACTTTAGTTGTCTAGTTATGGATGTGTGTTGATCAGAATCCATGGGACCTTGCGATCAGGCTGATGGAGGTGATGTTTGGTAAACTCTTTTCTCGACGTTTAGTTTTATGTTAGAATTCGTCACTAACCGATAATGTCTAGAGAAGTAGTTAAACCATGAAGTAATGGGGTAGTTGTTTCGTTATATCGTGTAACTTATCAACAGTGTGATCTACGAATTCATACAGGATCAAATCCCAAATATCCAAGTCTTGAAGTAAGAAGGCTGCCATTCAATCAGTTGGTTAGAATGGCAATCGTCCATAATTTCAAACTTGGCGATATAATGCCGCTAAGCTTCAATTTCTTCATCACTTTGGACTATAGGGATCCATTTGTCTAGACTGAGTATAAATTCACAGTTAGTATAACGGTAGAGAGGTTGATTTGTTCATTCGCTCAATACATTCTCTTTTATGTTTTTCATTTCAGATTAACAAGATATATCCAGTCTGTTTTTGTCTTCCACATAAAGCCTACTGTTTAAATAGTAGTGATAAAATATCCAAGTTTATGATCGCTGTTCGACCAATGGCTGTTTGGCGAGCAATGGATAAAATACGACCGTATCATGCTTTAATATTATTACTGCGTAAAGATGTTCTACTCAGAGATTTTCTACCAACGGATATTAATCCTACGCTAAACGAGTAGGTTTTACGTTTGTTCTGTAATTAGTTAATTAATCGATTTTACAATAACGTATGCTTAGTTTTATGCAGCTCTGGGTAGCTGTTTCATTTAGTGAGTTATAAGCGATAAGGTTCGAGCAACTGGTTCTGTGTTCGAGTGCTGAGTCGAATTAGACAGTATCACGCCTTCTTTTTCAGTGAAACTTTGTTCCATATTGTTAATTATGGAACAATAATTAGATTATTGTAAATCATGGAGTTATACAACTCGTGCTCTTCTAATCCAGTCTTTTATTAACCTTAATTGTCGCTCAACAGCGTAGTTGTGAGTGTACTGTATCAGTAGTGTGTGCGTTACAATTTTCTTGGCAGAATATTATGGTAAAGTAATTTCAATGTAGATTTCAGGACGAACCAACAGCAGTGCTCCCTCGAGACCCCATCAGAAATTTATCCCAGGACTTTCAGGTTAGCAGGTCAAGCTCGCTGACCATTGGAGCTGCTTTAGCTGGAATTCAATAGTGATTTTAAACAATAGAAAGGCATGAATACTTATCTTACAATGAATAATAGAAGCTTTACTTTTCTGTCGTTTTCATCACCTTTATCTTGTGTAATGATGAGCATTTTCTGCGATCCAGTAGAAATAATTTATTTTATAGACGAAGGAATGTCTATATAAGATGTAAATTTGTGGGAATTAACTTATTTCACCTATTCAGCATACGGTTCTTATGATCATTGACGCTGTCACTTATTTACCAGCTGTTCAACTAAGCTCTTTTAAACACTTACTGCCCTATTGATATTAGTGAATATTTATCAAAATGCTATTAATTTGGAATTGTCTTCAAGCCTCTATTATCTATTTTATTATAATAACGATAATTCTGTTAGTACACATAAAATAAATTCCCTATCACTTTCTCTGCCTTCAAACAACAATTTCTTATTGCTAATTTCCTCAACTTATTTGAAGGAACTAGTGCGTTGGTGGCGTATTGGTAGAATACTTGCCAACGACGCATGTCTTCTAGGTTCGATTACCAGCTGACGTACTCCTAAACCTCGTCTAACCGATAGTAAGCCAGGTAAAGAAGGAAGGTTGAACGTGAGGCTTGCAACTTCATCCCTTAAAAACAATAACACTACTGAAACTTTAAGGCTTGAAGCCCTATGGAATGCAAAAGAATGTAACAAACTTAAAGGAGTTATTTTTTGTGCAACAGTATGATTAGATTTACATCTGAAGGTGAGCATTCCCTCTATAGGAATTCCTTTAGGCCCAATTTTGACTGATATATATATATATATATATATATACATAACATGGTATATATATAACATGTTGAGGATTGAGCTAGGGACTTAATTGAAAAAGTTTCTTTTTATAGGATATGCGATATCAAAGTTATCTATGACATTGATAGATGACACAGGAATGCTCAATGGGATTAGTGTAACACAGATATGTGAAAGAAAATAATGACCATTTATCATTTGTGCTCATAAGCCGCCGACATGATGGGTTAATAAGGCTATCTGTACACAGGAAGCACGTGTGGACGGGATGGTATCTAGATGACTATGTTTTCTGTCCACTTCAGTATAAAAACGCATTAACTAAATATTAGTTCATATGTATTCAATACGCATGTATTAAGGACACCATTGAAGAGAATTCAGAACCTCACTGAAATTTAATTACATAATAACTACCCTTTAAAATTCATTAAACACTGCTGAAATGTCAAATACAAGGGTTCTATCGGTTCAATCAGGCCATAAAAGTGATGATTATATAACTTTACTGCTCAAAGCTGACTACCAAAGTGTGACTACTAAACAAAGATTCAGAGAGGTACTCTGTAGAACTTACTATTCATTCAAGCTTATTTTTATACAGAAAATGGAATTTCTGTCGTCATGTAAACTCCCACAACATTTGAACGATAGCACCACATCCTGTTTTGTTTATCAATTTATATGTGTTTGGTCAGATGTATAAAGAGGACCCATCGATCCCCGAAGTTTAGCGCTACATAGCACATTCTTAATTGATTGCATAATCAGGTAAAATCATTTAACTTAATAATATATCTTTTGAAAAGACTGTCTTCGCTTAATATTGTGTTTCCAATGAAGCCGTTTAACTAACTTGCATAGCACACCACTGCGACGAGTCATAAAGTAAATTTTAGTACTACTTTTAAATGCACATATAAAACTGATTTGAGTCATATACTTGAATATGTTGAAGCCCGTCATAAAAATGCTTAAAGCTACTATATATATTCGCAAAAATCACTCGTTATTATTTTGAACCTACCTTGGTAATTCATTTATAAAATTAAGGGTTATTTGCATTATCATATCTCTCCCTGTTTTTCCCTCTTACCTCTTATCTGATTCTCATACCTAAAGTAATACTTTGACCTATATTAGTACAGCTTTAAAATTTCAAATTCTGTTAAATTTCACATGAATATTTATGACTAGTATGTATCTATATATGTATGATTAGAAGTTTGATAGAATGTTCTGGACGTGTTGCATAAATGCATCACACATGTCAGATAAATTGCATCTTATTATTTTAAGTTTCATCACGGATTGATATCAGTTAGAGAATCATGAAAAACCAGGGAGTATTGGACAGCTGTTTCGTCCTAGTTTAGGACTCCTCATCAGTACACATCTATGGGGATTCTTAACCATGACCGCTCGGTTTTAAAGGTAAGCTCGTAAACTATTCAGCCACTGGGACTTGATTCAATGGTCTATGAGTTCCAGCTTCTACCAATTCGTGAACTTTACCACAACCACCAGTCGGTGTTATCAGCGAGTATTTTCCCTCACTCCCGTGATCAAACTTGCAAAAAATAAAATCATCACAGAATAATTCTGATTGTATGAAGCAAGAACACCAGTTTTGCAGAATAAAATGGTACCATCATTGCTTATTTCGTTGGCTTCTCATCAGCTGCTTACAGGCCAAAGTCATTATTAAGTATATTTACAGAAACAATTTTAACATACTTGCTTTAAACAGTGCCATCGCCAGGCATTTCCTTGACATGGGTCATGAGGTGGACATCGCAAAATTATCAATAGGCAAAAAAGGTCAATTCTACTCAAGTTTGCTGAAGCCATTTCCATCAAACGCCTGAAACCTGATTTATGCGTTCAGAAAGAAACAGTTATCAGTCTTTCTTTGCCCTGGTAACTGGATATTTTCACCTCTTTTTCAACTGATTACGTAATGTTGAAAGTTTCCATTGTGTATGATCATTATTGTTCGGAATAGTGTTAAATATTATATATATATATATTACTGTATGCATATATTGATTGATTTTTGTTTAAAAATGAACTCTGTGCAAGTATGTTAAAATTGTTTCTGTAGATATACTTAATAATGACTTTGGCCTGTAAGCAGCTGATGAGAAGCCAACGAAATGAATGATGGTACCATTTTAATTCTTGAAAGACTGTTGTTCTTGCTTTATTCAAATTCACTAAGGGGAATAAATGTATGAAATTCTTATTGTTTTTGTTGAAATTCCTTACTGTTACAGAGAATGACTTATCTTTGTAACACATGAACACGCTGTAATCTCTATTTCAGGATAACATATATATATATATATGCTGTAGGCAAATACATCTGTTTACTTTAAACTATTCTTCTCCACAGTATAGTCGTAGAATTTAAGAGGAAAGGTTTCTGTGTGTTACTATCATATCCAGAGAACCTCAATCATTTGCCATTGCTCACTGCTATGGGACGCATACGCAATCTTCAAAAAAAAAATGCTGAATATACACGAAAATCAAAAGAATAAACTTTCAGTGTTAAACGCAGAATACTTAAATATAATACATTATAATGATGACAGTATTCTAACATGTAGATGAATAAGAATGATAAAATTAAAAAGTAATATGCAGTTTAATTCGTCATTTTTCATTCCATATGTCTTGTTGCAGTTCAATTATTACTGAAGTTTTTAAAGTTTGTTAAAGTGCAAACAGAAGTAAAGTATTTTATGCATTTGAAAAAAAAAGCAAATCAACTATTGAACATTTAATATTTCATGTAACCGCTAAAATTGAATTCGGTCAGTGCTTGATAAAATTCTTTATTTTATGTAAATATTTGAATAGTTAGTTCGTATTTTCATGGGTTGTTTTTTCTTTTTTTACTTGTTACACACATCAATTTTTACTTGGACCTTGACTGCGATTTGTATCGTTGACTGATCTACTCTGACTGGGTTTTGATCCTGTTGAAATTCTTCTTAAAGGTGCCAAAATATTAATCTTAACTAATGTCATACGACCGATTAAAAACATATCATGACGTACTCTTGGTGAACTGAACATGTATAAATAAAATCGTAGACCAACACATGTCCAAAATAATATATTAATTGTATTATAAACAATATCAGTAACTGAACAGATATCACGTGCAGTGAGTACATTTTTAAAATTAGAATTTGCTAATTTAAACAAATTCATAGGTAATGCACCAATAATGAAAACAATACTTGATACAACCATCATACGACAGGCGAATACTACCTCCCACATTGCAGCTGCTGTCGGTGGTAATTTTGCCTTATTTTTACGACTCATTGTTATAATTGATAAACCCTTACCTATTGACATATGATCAGAGTGCATTTTTATCAATTGACGTTGCATTATTATTAGATTACCAGTACTTGTAGTTACAAGTATTAAAAATGGAATAATACATTTATAGACTAAATCAATTAGAAAAAATGTTTTATCTGTATAACCTTCACTGCATACATCTTGACTACTAGCCAACAGGACTGCATTTTTACCAATTATAGTTAAAGTGACTATCATCAGCGTGAATGCTGGCGGTTTTATCTCACGTTTATTCATACTATAAGCTGATGTTGGTCTAGCCATTAACCAAAATCGTTCACCCGTCAATATACACATATACCAAGCTGATGCATCTTGACAACAATATTCAGCGAACAATTGTAAACGACAAAATATATCTGTATAAAATAATCTTAAATCATATTGTTTCAAGGCTAAAATTGTATAACGTAGACAACTGATATTTTGACCAAGAAAATCAACAAATGCTAAACTAGCCATTAGCAATTGTGTTGATGCACGTAGATTTCCTTGTTTCGGTTGAATATCACTACCACCAGCACTTGAAGCACTTGTATTATTACTCGGTGCATCAGTTCTTGTTGTAACAGTTTTGATTGTAGCAGTTCTTGTTGTACCACCAGTTCGAGTGGCTGTACTTTTAGTTGTACTAATACACACTGTTTTAGACGATTTACGAAACATGAATAAATAAATCCAGGTTAACAGACTACCGAAACTACCAAATATGAGGGTAATAAATCCAAATATTGCAACAAATATATTTGGTAGATAATATTTCAAACAGAAATTGTGTTGTGTACCAGTGATATTGACAGTTATGTTGTCATAATAGTTAGACATGTTGTTTTGTTGTTGTATATATTCAAGAGTGTTAATGTGACTGTTCAAGAAATTTCCTCTGACTGCTGAAAAGTAGTAAAGTCATTTTTTCACAGCTAATCTTAATGCCTTTATATACATTCACAAATGGATGTGTTCACTTGTTCATCCATCTTCTTGTCTGTTTGTTTGTGTATGTGTTCGTTTTCTTTTTTCGCGCTTACATTTATCTGTCAATCCCCTCTTGCCACTACTTTGCGTTTTTACTTTCTTGTGTGAAATAGGGTGGTTACACTTGGTTAACTGATGAAACTTCTTTTTGCCTTGATTTGGATAGTCTTTCTTTTTATCTTCCCTTTCATAATATTCTCACAAGCTATGCATCTATCTATCTATCTATCCATTCATCTGTCTATCAACACGCAAGCTAATTTCTGCTACAAAAAGAGGACAGAATGAACAATCTTGAAGTTTTGCCAATCGGGCATTGTACATATGCGAATATGTATATATTCTGCTTTAGCGATGAAGGCGTATTAATTCTTTTTTCTTCTCCTCTGGATAAAGTTAGCTTTTTGTTATTTTTACCTTTGTCAGTCGTATTGATGTATTCTCTTCAAGTGAGAGTAGTCAGTAATGGAGCCCTAATCTAGAAGTGGTTGATACATTCGACGCCTTTGAAATAAATGAGGAAGAGAGAGAGGGGGGGGGGCAAAAAAGAAAAGGATTCGTAAAACACTTAATTATCTGAAAATATGTATATCACGTTCACTAACTTTTTAATATTATAATTAGATGTTTAAATCTGCCTAGGATTAATGGCTAAATGTGGTCTAAAAATAACTGTCTATAGTGCATTGATTAATGTTGACTAGGGAAGATGATAAATAAAGCCTGTTGCTTTAGTAGTAGTAGTAGTATTAGTAGTGCACTAGTTAGACTCGCCCAACACCTTTTTAAGAATCTTTTCTTCAGCATATTGGGATTAATTTTTAACTATGTCACTTATATAGTCTATCAGTTGTGATATTCCAAAAGACGGGATGAGTTTTCACTGGCTCATACGACTCAGATCTACAGTAAACTATATATATCCTAAGATATTTTGCTGTCTTCTGTCTGTCTGTCTGTTTTCGACATAGAACTTTGCACATATGTGCGGCAGTTCAATTCGCCACACTCCATGTAGCACACAAAGCAAGAGAAGAAAGTAGGAGGAATGCATAATAGAGGCAGTAAACACAGGTGTGAGACAAAGGAATAGTAATAACGGAGAACAAAACAGTTTCATTGGAAATCATAAGTCCCAAGGAGTGGATGCATCTGCGCCAGCCATTGAGAACGATTTTGAGCCACATCACCGATTGTCTCCAGCCTTCATTGGTTTTTACCGTCCCGAGGACCCCAACCAGGAAGTCTACACCTTCCTACGTGACTTAGACTAACTGTTGTGCATTTCATTGACTGGTGCCATGTTTTCGTTTGACCGCCGCTAGCTCTTTTCCAGCCTGACCCTATATCAGCTAACATTGCCCGTCGAGGAAGCCGATGATTAGGCTTACTTCATAAACTCATATTATGCACAGGGATGGTTAATGGCAAAATCTGCGTGAAGCACCTTCTAACTTGTCTGATCGATTCACTACATCGTGATCAAACTCTGAATCAATTAAATCCCTGCAAACCAACATTTGAAAATTAGTCTAATGCACACTAGTAACTGACTACAGCATGAAGTCGCCTGTAGTTTCATTGAGAATTCGTAACTAGTGCGGTCTACAATATTCGGTGTGAGGACAAATAACTGTCGACAACACTGACTGCTGATGGCATTATGTATTACTAATTAACAAACGTTAAAATTCAAGGTGTCATTGGATTGCACCTCATTGACTGAATAGTCGATGAGCCCTTGCTTGTAATCTGAAGGTCCTAAGTCCGATTCCTGGTGTGGGGAGGGGTCCTAGATGCATACTGTTGAAGATTCCAGAACTAGGAAGAGGCAACTCTTCAGCACTCCATGATTTTCAGTGGTTTTCTAACTAGATTTGGTTTATCATCAAACCTGAGAATAACTTTGGTAATTATTTTTTCTTTTTTGAGAGGTTTCCTACGTCATTTGTTTCATATACGATTCTTAAACCATTTACATTCAGAGAATATGTATCAATTTTTAACTTGTACTCAACGCTTAGGTGTTTGAAACGATGGGTACCTGGGTTGGAAACACCCTCACTCACTGATGAGCTAGTACGCCCTGCTGATGAGTCCTAAATAGAACGAAGTATATGCATCTTATATTCTACAACTAGCCACCACCAAACAAGTTACTATAAATCAATAAATAATTTCATACTCCGTTTATGTCTATCTTCGGATGAAATATCTTGGGTCTGATGTAATAAAAGTTGACAATTGCCTACAACTTGGCATTTTTATATTACTAATTTTGATTTTTCGAGGAAAGTTGTTTTTTTCAAACTCTTGAATGCTTTTTACTGATTTTATTCTTACATTGCGTGTCTCAGAAATTCTCTCACCCAAACACACACATACACATTTTGAGGTGAAATTATTTTTCACTTTGAAATCAAAGTAAATATTGTTTGAAAAAAAAAGAAAATTTTTAGGTTTTACTTTTATAATATAAATTAGTTGTTATGTTACTTTATACACCCATTTATTTAGAAAGGAATTCTTTATAGTTCTAGTTTTCTAGTTATTTATAAGTTAAACGTGTGTTTCAACAAAGCAGTGACAACTCATGGAGCAGGTAGATTAGGGTTGAAAACTGAATTAATTGACATGCTTAATCAATATCTTATATCACTACTAACTGCACAATCGAGGTTGTTATCGGAAGAACACCAGGAAACGCTGAATCGTGCTTAAGGCAATGATCAAACAGCAATAACACAACCGAGTGTTGTAATAATGAATAAGGTGGTGGACTACACTGTTAAGATAAACTCGTTTTTACAAAATTCTCTAAAATTTAGAAGTGATAACTATCAAAATCATCTGAATAATTCAGCTGGAAAGCGAGTCACAAGTTGTTAAAGATCGCCTAATGAACTGAAACCCAGAGAGACTCGTCTGTCTTATATCTGACGGCTAGCAAAGTTATGCAAGGAAGGTATCCCGCGTAGGCCCATTCCACTCCATTTGTTATTAGTGCCTTGTTATTCATGTATCTTTGTTTTAGTGAAGGCTGGTTTTGATTTTTAAATTTTAATTCTTTTCTCAATTTTCAACCTGCTTAAATCAGATAAAGAAGATCGTTTATGAATGAAATTACGTGAATTAAGTAGTAGATCACGTGCATGATTTCAATATCAGAAAATCTGAACAAGGCAAAAAAACAACGGTTTGTACAGAACAATATAACAGCGTCGTTTATTTCGTCAACTTTCTCATCAGCTGCCTACAGCCTAAAGAAATTAATTAAGTTCACGTACAGAGCAATTTTAACGTACTTGCAAAGGTCACATCTTTTTCTTTTATTCCTTTACGTTCCCAGTGGAACAAAGGGCTGCAAGCTTTAGCTTTGAAGTTTCAGTAGCAGTGGTGTTTTTACGGGGTAGGGTAGCTAGCCTCACGCCCAACCTTTCCTCCTTGTCTAGCTAAGGCAGTTAAAGGAGTACGCCTGCCGGGACTCGAGCCCCGGACCATGTGAATGGTTGGCCAATGCCCTACCACTGAACCACAGACGCGATTTATACATTGCCGGGTTCGAATCTCTCTCCATGATCTACTGCAGCTGTGACAACTACCGGGTAGGTGACATGAGGTCAGTTAACTGGGGACTCCAGAGTTAATAAGCAGTGCTTAGAAATTTCACGTATATAATTTATACATAGAGGGTTCAAGTATAAACAAAACAAGACAGGTGAATAAGATAATGAGTAACCAATAGGCTGAGTAACAATGTGATGAGTTCAACTCACATCACAGAAAAAAAAGACAAGCAAATTACATTATATCAAAAGGGGAGGAAATCAAAGCCAGAGATTACTTAGTCAAATAAAATATTCAGCACAAACCGCTGTTTTTACTTTATTCAAATTCACAAAGGGAAATAGGTGTATGAAGGATCAGAAAATCATCTCAGTGATTAATGATATTTAATTTAAGATCAATTAATCTTCTTTTATAAAAAATAGTTTTTATTTCACTGTTATGTACTACTGATATGCAGATTACTCATAAAGTTAATGTAGAACATACAACTTTAATTTATCATCAGTTATACATTGGTTTTATGAATACTCCTTATATCACCGTAAATAGCCACTGGGAGTGACACGGTAATGTTTCGGTCTGAGTGTAACTGAATAGATTAGAACAGTTTACATTCGTTTATCGATCTTTTAGCTTATTATTTATACTAGTCACTGAAATACTAATTATCTTTTGTCAAGATATTCAGTTTATTCTTCATTCCTTTCTTATCTGTCATGGTTTTATTCCTTTATCTGCAGACTTGTTCGCCGAATTCTGATAAATCCCGTTGAACTAATCAACAATCTTGAGATTTCGAGTTTGATCAGCTGTTTTGTCCTAGTTTGGGACTCTTCAGAATTACTCACCCACCGGGGATTGAACCTAGGACCTTCAGGTTACGAGATGAGCTCGCTGATCATCCAATCACTGGGGCTGAATCCAATGACCCATGGATTCTAAGCTGTATCAATTGGCTAGTTTTACAGCCATCACCAGTCGGTATTATCAGAGAGTGTTTGTCCTCACCCCTGATTTGGTGAAACCAACTAGTCACAACTTAAGACCAGTAAAATCCCTACAAACTGACACTTTGCCTTTTTTAAAAACATTAGTTCCTTTTATGAATTTAGGTAAAGCAATAAGAAGACGTAATTTGTCTGAATCGTGTAATGTATTTGCGCAACACATTTCGAACAATCTGATCACACACATGAACTTGTCATAGGAATATATATGAAATTAATAAAGAGTTAAGAGGTGAGAAAATAGACTTAGGTCAAGTTAAAAGGACATATTGAAGGTCAAAATAACAATGAAGACCACTAAACCAAATAGCAGAGGTAATAGTACATCTGCTATGGTATCAAAACAAAATTTACCAAGGAAGGTTTAATGTGATGACGAATTGTTTTTGAACGCATAAAGGTGGCTTAAACTTTCTAATTGCCAGCTAGGGCTTCCACAAACTTTAGGATACGCCCCAAACACGTTTTATAGATAGGTTTAAAAGATCTGTTAACATCAATTTTATATCCTGTCTCTATAATATGTTTCGCAATAGAAGAGCTAGGTCTCCTGTTCTCACCATTAATGGGTTCTGAAGATTCTATTTGTTTCTGTATGTGTGTCCACACATACATTCAAATTGGTAAATACAGTGGGATGATTCAGACAAACTTTGCTTTTTGTTGAATAAAGTTGTAGAGATTGTTTGTGTGTGTGTACTTCTAATTCAGTTTTCTGTTGACACATAGACTACCCGACAGGATGTTTTGATAGTGCCGCTGCTAACCACCGGCAAACAAGATCAATATATTATTTCACTAATTACAATAAAAGGATTGCATTAACATCGTTCTTGGAGGTTTTTTGATCAACGGATGGACACGTAAAAGTTAATAATTAATTCTTACGATTGGTTAGGCTTTCGTTTTGTGACACACTGTTTAAAAGATTTGGGGTTTTTTATTTTTAATATCGATTGTGTAACTAATACTCAGGTTGCTAGTGATGTGAGTAGTTGTAACTTCTTTGTTGTTCTACGGTTACTTTTGTTGAAAATTCCATGATTAGAAGCATTCTGGTCCCAGATGAATGTGACTTATATTTGTTTATTTATTTGTAATCTGTAGTAGTAATTTCGGATAACTATTTCAGCAGTCTTATTTGTTTTTAGGTTAATTTGTATTCGCATCGATTATGTTGAACTGAAATGCAGTAGAGTTCAGAATGCCATCTCTAATCACTATCAACCAAAATAACTTCACGTTACTGTTTAGACATCGTCTAGGCTTCCATAACATGGCAAAGTTAAACTTTAAGCACCACTAACTACCACCAATCAGTGAATGACCTCGAACGCACCAATCACGTGAAGGAGGTATTTTTGTGTATGGAATACACATATTTATGAAATAATGCATAAACACTGTAGAAATGTGTTACAGAGGATACCTGGCTCTCACATGTGATAAAAAAAGCTCTCAGTTTTAGGTTGGAGTATCACAACAGAGTATAATTCCATTGTGGGTAAAATTTATTTTGATAAAGCCTCATAGTGTAAAAGTAATATTTACTGAGCAATAAATTGTGCTCAAAACGTCATCAGTAATTATTACTGGATAACACTCTGGGACTTTATCAAAATAAATTTACCCACAATGGAATTATACTCTACTACGGTGCACAAGTTCTATTCTTATATCAACAGAGTAATTTAACCATATTCTATGCATGTAATTATTTAGGTCTTCTAACCTTAACAATAACCCTAATCATTCCTGAACCTAACCCTAATGTCGCCTTTATTAGGTTAACCTAACCCTAACTTGTCCTTGGCTTAAAGTGTAACTTAATCTTTCCCAAACCTAAGCCGTAACTTACCAGATATCCCATTTAATAGCATAGCACTTCGATGAGCATATTTTATTGATGATGACAACATTATTTGCCAGGTTTCACTAACTTGCTCAGTGAGCGTTTCAAGGTCATTAGTGCGGTCGCACTCCATTGGCAGTTGTTAATGGTGCTTAAAGTTTAACTTGGCCCATAACATACCAGGAGCTGACATGTCAGCAGACATCTAACATTTCTGTGCAACATGATCAATGAACAGGAAATGCAAGTAATTTTAAAATAACTGGTAACTGCTGCACAAAAGGTGACTCTTGTGACCTGGCGGATAATGCTTTGGAGTGTGAAATTTTGGGTGCAGGGTTCGAGCCTCAGTGGGAACACTCTCATTCACTGGGAATAAAGATACATCTGGTTGACGAGTCCCGGAGAGAATGAAATTCGCATTCCATTTGCGACGAGTGGTTCGTCCGAGGGTGACATGGAGGAGATCTTACGAAGAGGACGAGGAGATGAGAGATTATGTGCAATCGTCGACCCAGCTGAAGAGGTCAGCAGGAAATAGAAGAAAGTGGAGATGTGTTGTTGAAGCGCCCTATGTTCCACTCGGGACCCAAGGGAATAATAAAATAATGATGAATAGTTAAAGAGTTATTCGTATTACTGACTATTGTTATAATTTTCTTCAAATAGTACTTGTATTTATCCATTTTATTGTTGTTGTTCTTTTTGTATTTCCCTTAAAATTTAGCTTCATAAATGAATTATCACCAACAGTTAGTCTGTGTAATATAGCTGAGAGAATTCATTCACAAACGCATTGTTTAAATTTAGCCTTATGGTTAATATATCGTGGTCATGCATTAATTGTATATCCAATTGTAGCCAATAATATGTATGTATTGGCACCTCATTCTAAAGCATGGTTTACACCACAATTGATTGGCCAGTTTGCAACATCCTTTCCAGAAGTCAATTTGGCTGAGGTAATAATTATAATGAGTTTGATTAAACTGAAATTATTTGCTTGCTGACTGTAGTTTTGCTTTCTCATATCACTGAACTTCTTAATTAGAATATGTTAAGACTGTGGTATTTCTTTCACTGATGGAAGACTAAGCATTAGAGATCAACGAGTAAGAGGAAGTTGGACTAGTGATTCAGGTTAATTTATAGGACTAGAAACATTTAAATCTTGTGAAAGGTCTTTAACAATGTGACGTTTTGGATCCTGTTCACAAATAATTAACTTTCTGAGTCTCAGTCAATTGTATCTGGTGAAAACATGAAAAGTGTAAGTCCTTCAGAGTCATTCACTGTTACAGTGATGTCATAGTATATTTAACAGTGAAAAACACTATATGTGTTGAGTCAAAGAGGATCGGTGGATTGCAAACATTATAGTGAACTGGTCCTATATAGTGTAAAGTCTACCAGTCAGATGTGTAGTCAGGTTGGTTACAGGATTTCATCATGAACTGACTTCGGTTAGAGAACCATTGGAAAACCTGCAGGGAGTACTGGACAGCTGTTTCCATCGTCCTAGTTTGGGATTCTTGATCAGTGCGTGCCCATCACGGGGGTTCGAACCCAGGACCTTCTGGTTACAAGGCTAGCGAGCTCGTAGACCATTAAGCCACTGTGACCCGATCCAATGGCCCATGAATTACAACCTCTGTCAATTCATGACATAGGGCGACCGCTAGTCAATGTCTTTGGCAAGTATTTGTCCTCACACCCGACCTGCCGCACCCTACTGGACATGACGTCCCACTAGAAGCTACCTGAATAGGTAGATAGTCAGGTTGTTGGATCAATTGATGCTACATTACTGTGCACTTCCTTACGTGCTATATCTAAAAGAGTAAATGTTCATAGTCGGCGAGCGTCCTAACCGCTATCCCACCGACGCACACTAATTATTAATACTTGGTCAAAATTCTCGACTGTCCATATCTTCTTATGGTGAGGTTAAGAAATGTTTTACAACTGTTTACCCACACACACATGCACACTCTGTTTAAAGTGTTTAACAAAGGTAGACCAGTATTTGTAAGTCGGAGGTCAAATTTTGATCACAGCTCATAAAATTTTGTTTATTATACTTGTTGATACTTGTTGAATGATTCATGATTGGACAAAGTTTTCAAAAACAAGTGATGTTCCTTTTATATATAAACCTCTGTTATGTTAATTTCGATTAATTTCCCTGAAGAAGTCCGGACCAGATTGTTGAACGAAACGTTGGAATTACTCATTTCAATCTCGCTGAGATTTTACAGATATAATTTTTTACAAATGTCTACTTCTCACTCGGCGCCCAAATATTTTAGAACTATTCTGTCAAATCTTGACGACAGTTCATTTGAAGTAAATGGTTAGGTAGCGAAATAATATGTGGTGTTCCGATAATTATGTTGACTGTACAAACTGCGTTAGATAGGCTTAATTCCCAAAGAAATAATCAGTTAGGAATTAGACATACATACAGGACCAAGGGGAACATCTTTTTATTATAAAGTAAATATAATTATTGCCAAATGTTTGTTTGTAGGGATTTGATTGGCTTCAAATTGGATTACAAAGTGGCTACAGTTATTTACATTTTATTACTTACTAAATATATATTCATTCTATATTCCAGCTTTTAACATCATTTTCCACAACTTTTATACTGAAAGATCACTTTCATCCGTCTATTGGTATTGCGGATAATCTTCATTATGATGGAGATTCAGAGAATAATAATGCCAATTGTTCTCGAAACAAACCGTCTAAAACTTCATGGACAAATTTACCATTAACACAAAAAATCAATCTAATAGCTTGGCTTCTTCGACGTCGTCTTATCATCCAAGTAAATGTGTTATTTTATTGGTTCATTGTATGGTATTCTTTTGAATTTTATTACTATATTTAAGTGAATCTGTACAACTTCATTTTATTTCCGTGTCTAAGTTTATCGCGAAACTGTGCACTCCTAAGTATGAGGAATCAAAAGTCTCAGTCAGACTGTCTCAAATTAAATAGCTTCCTGTCGTACATCAGTGAGTGGTTCAAACTAAATGGTCTCATGCTGAATCCCTCAAAATGCCAGACTATTGACTTCTCCCTTAGGCATAAACGAGTTCTACAAACACTAGTAAGTTCTCATGAAGACTGTTGCATTGAGGGGACTAAAATTGAAACTAAATCTAATGATAAATACCTCGGTCTAGTTCTATCTTCCGACCTTACTTGGACATCTCATATCCTAATGATTTCTAAGAAAGTGTTCTGTCTTACCTACTACATTAAGAAACTTAGACAATCTGGAATCACCCAACCTCTACTTTCACAATTTGTCAACTCTTGTATCTTACCTATTCTACTTTACTGCTCCCCGTTAGTCTTTTCTGGTCTACTGAAAAAGGACTATACCATTCTGAGAAGGATGTTGAAGGTAGTCAGTAGGACTAGTGGTGTAAATCTCAGTCAGCTCGTCACTACCTTATTTGATAACCATCTGAATACATGCGAAAAATGGCCAAAAACCATACTCTCCGACCCCCAACACCCCCTCTATTCCCAACTCTCTCCTTGTATCTCATCACGTAAAACCAGAAATCAGTATAAAATAATCTATGCTCGTACAACCAAGTACAGGAACTCAATGATACCATACTTGGCCCGTGTTCTAAGCGACAGAGACAATGTTAAGCGTGAAACCTATGACTTCCTTTGTTATTAACAAATAATTTTAAGCTCTTTTATTTCTCTCTTATTTTGTATTCTTTAGTGCTCTCCTTCTTCAAACATACTTAGCTACCTAAAATATTAACATTGGCTTCCTTTTTTGTACTTTACTATATTCCTTCTATTGTGTATCCACTGGTTCCGACTCTATTAGCACTATGAGTATTCAAAATTGTCCTGTCGTTAACCATCATGTAATTATTAGTTTTGTGGTTGTTTTTTCTTATTTTCTATACTTTTCGGCAATATTAAACTGACAATCATTGGTTGTGAACGCCATAGTCACCACCACAAACATTGCATTTGACCTTGGTAGACTTTGGTACTTTTTCGCATTTATAATTATTTTGTGTTTATCCTGTTTTTTTTTTTGCTGTTGGTGTCTTCAGATTTATTTTTGTTGTTGTTTAATACTTATTTTAAATGTCGGTAAAATTAGATGCAAATATTGTAGATATGTGCTGAAAATTCCACACTGTACCACTAGTACTGTTTCTGGAATAAAGCAAATTATTATTATTATCTGAACGAATCAGATTCTTACCAAGAAATTCTCGTCACATTCTGGCAGTTATATAAGATAAGATTTACTATCATTATAATCACAGCAAAATGTGAATGAAGTAGGCGTATTTCAATGTAGAACGTAATTACGAAGTGCTACAAAGTGGAACTAATCTGACACTTGGAATACAAAACTTTTCACAGTAAATAATCTTTCGCCTATTCTAACATTACCTTCATCAACTGGATGTTTCGAATATTTTGACAGTACTTATGTCACGTGTGAGGATGGATGTCCCACCAACGACAATGGTTGGGGTCGCGCTAATTCACGAATTGGTAGAAGTTAGAATTCATGAGCTGTTGTATCGGGTCCCAGTGGCTGAATGGTATACAAGCTTGCCTTGTAGCTGGAAGGTCCTGGGTTCGAATCCCAGTAGGTGCGTACTGCCGATGATTCCCAAACTAGGATGAAACAGATATTTAGTACTCCCTGTTGGCTTTCAATAGTTTTCTAGCTGATATCAATCCGTGATCAACTCGTAAAAAGTATTTATGTCAATAAATGAATTTTTCAGTTTATCTAATAGAAAATTGTTAGGTACTGGTATTTCTGGAATAAAAATAACTGAAAGATTGAGTTACTAACATAGAAGTTTACACAGAAGTGTAGCAGTTCAAGTTTGCCACACTATTTAGCATACAAAAATAGAGGAAAGAAAGAGAGAAATCCAAAGGAAATGTTTTCATGAGAAATGCATGCGAGAAAAACTAGTAACGTTGAGAAACGTGAGAATTTAGTTGATCTAGGAGATTACAAAGAGTGAATGTATCTGTGACATTCAGAATGGTTTTGAGCTATATCACCAACAGTTTCAAACCATCCAATTTTTATAGTCTCGAGGACCCTAACTAGGCAGTCTACATTTCCCTACATGGCTGACCCAGAACAACATTTGGTGTCTTCAGGAACTGATGCTACGTTTTGATTTGACTACCCCTCCCTAACTCTCTTCCAACCTAATTCTATGTCATTTAAGATTCCTCGACGAGGAAGGAGATGGACTGTCAAGCATAACACGTGTCGTAGCTATCTTAATCGATGTAGCTTCGTAACCTCATCGGTTGTCTTGTCCTCCTAAACAAAAGTAGTCTGCCGAAAGTGGTTTGATTTGCTGTCGGTACGTGTTAGCCAGGATAAATATATATATGATTGTTCATTCTAACTCTTCTAATGTAATGCCGCGTAGATTTCATTTGCTTCAAGTATATATTTGCCTAAAATATTTCGTTATCTTCTCTTTTAGATTCATATTTACATATTCCCAACATTTCTATCCAGTGTAAATCAAATGAATTCGTTGCTTACTGACAGAAACATTCCAAATAATTTAGAGAATTTACATATATCGTGCAATGTCAACAATACAACCTATAGTAGCTGTAACAGTAGTAGTAGTGGTAGTAGTAATAGTAGCGAATATGACAGTGATGAAATCACTCCTGAGTATCAAGACAATGAGAATAATAAAAATCCCCATATGGATTCTACCCTCCCAGATTTAGATGAATTGTGTAAAATGATTCCCAAGGATGTCTTACATGAATTAACTGAGAATTTGCCTGTTGACTCACGACAATCTTTACTCCACTCTATTCTAAGTCATCCTGGAGCTGTTCAAAATATTCAACTACTCAAGTTATTCAGTAGAATTTTACCGCATTTACCAGCACACATCGAGGAGATTATGTTTAAAGAGCAAGTGAAACGATCTACACTGATTGAATGCATCGAGAGATTCTCTCCATTCTTGGCGACTGCTAGACTTCCAGATCCAGTAACTGCTTGTTTTGCTGGAATACCATGGCCTAATTAATTTTTTGCTTCGTCTCTGTCTCTATACAAATTGTAAACAGGATGAAAAGGTCAAGTTTTCAATGTCTTTCTTTAATCTACTTTTCAACTGTTTGTTTTTGCTTCAATTACATTACTATTTTCACTTAGATATGTGTCCTGTAGCATAATAATTCGTTTCTACAGTAATCATATATTGATAATTAGATTCAACTAGACACTAATACATATCACACTAAAATTATGTTTGTAACAGTATTATTCCATGAGGAATACAAGTGTTATAACTTCCTTTATTTAACTGGTTTAAATGTGGAAAAGTGTTACTGTATAAGCTGGTTGAAAACAAACTTTGAGTTTTCCCATCGTCCAATAGTGGGGATTAATGCACTGGCAAATGATTACTTCTTTTTCTTATCATTGATGACATCTATCGAAGCAGTTGACATTTCGGCGTCGCCTTCATTTTTGAAAATTCATTTGGCTACACTTGTGATCTTTATTTTATTCTTGATTATGAGTTTATTATTTGGTGAAGAGGTCGCAGTTATGTAGTTTGTGTGTCATTTTTCAATCACGTCTTTTGTACATAAATAATTTCATGTTATTATTGGATAATGTGTACAAATGAATTCATTCATTTTTGTTTCCGATGTCTCTACTTTTCTAATATCAATTTATTACCATTCGTGGACAATTACCATACTTCATGAATAATCCCCAATCCAAATAGCAATAAAACAGTAAGACAAGTAGTTCAGTGAAAAGGCTCTTTTCGGAGAATTCATTTTATCCTGCTGTACAATCGCATTTATAAACAACTTCTCGCGAAAGAGGATAATAACAAAAGTCATGAGTTAAATGTATTAAGAGCACTATTTTCCCAGCTGTCCATAAATATGTCTGCTACGATAGGGGATATTGGTGATCCCATTGCTACACCTTCTGTTTGTCTATATATTTTGCCTTGGAATTTAAAGATAGTAGATGTGAGACATAACTGAATTCCTAAAATAATTTCCTCAATGAATAGCTTCGTCCTATGAGTGAGTTCAGGATCTGCAGTTAGTTCTTTTTTAACTGCTTCTAAGGCCATATTGATTGGTATATTAGTATAAAGACTAGTTATATCAAAACTAACCATTGTTTCATCATTCTCTAGTTGAATGTCATTTAGTTTATTTTTCATCTCATATGAATTAGTTAGTCTAGAGTTTGAACGATTTCTAATGGGGCATAATATTAGAGCTAAGTGTTTTGATAATTCATAAGTAGGGGTATTTCTGAAATCTACTATTGGTCGTATGGGGTAACCTGGCTTATGTATTTTAATAGTACCATACATTCTACTAACATTATTAGTTTTAGGCATTAAATTAAACCATTTAGACTCACCCAGTGACGGCTTCATTCTGCGTATTAATTCTGCTGTAGATTTCTTAACCTTATTCATTATTGTATCTACAGGCTTCTTAATTTCCTCATATGGACCCGTCTGAATATGTTCAGTGACTTTTTCGCTATAGTCAGATTTATCCAAAACTACGGTAGAGTTTCCTTTGTCAGCTTTTGCGATGACAATGTTTTTATCCTGTTTTAGACTAATTAGAGCTTCTCTTTCCGATTTTGTTAAGTTTGATTTTTCAGGGTTAATGCACATTGTGCTCGAACCTCTTCTGCTGTTGTCTTATCTATTGAACCTACTTCTATGTTAGGAATGACATCCTCTGGCTTTAATTTATTAACTGTTACATTGAAATTTAGTCCTTTCTCAAGTACTTTTATCTCACTAGAGCTTAGTTCCCTTGATGAGAGGTTGATCACCCATTTTGGATGATCAAAGTCATGAGTTGTTATCATCATAGTTTTTAATATTAATCAGTGAATAAGAGGAGTTGAGCAAGAGTGTTAGAGTTACGTAGTGAGATAAATAATTTAATAAATCAGTTGTAATTAGGATGCACATAGAAACGAGGGCAAATGTGATATCATCATTTAAAGGTTCTGAAGAAATAGAAGAGTTAGAAAAAGGGAGACTTAACACGCGTTATCCTTAGGAGAAGCATTTCAGCATCCTTGTGAAGAATGCTCATCACAGCAACACTAAGAGTAGCGTTCGGTAGTCGTCTATTGGTCTGCAGAAGCTAGAATGACAAGATCTCGCATCGGAACACTTCTGTCGATATATATATTAGTTCACCTGTTACTGTGGAGTCAGCTGTAGTAGTGGTCATTCAACGCGGATTATTTCCAAAAGGGTTCAGGAACACTAACCTGCATATTTGCAGAAAGGTAACAGTAGCTTTATATGCACTGCGATAATTGAACACTTTGTCGACACTGGCCATTCCTATCTCAACAATCTCCGCCTTCGAAGTGATTTACAAAATGAAAGACAATCTGCCAAAGATATCACACTTTCTTCTTTTCAACATCGCTGAAGCTTTAGCCATTCAGATAGAGAAACCGGAGATCTGCATACAAAAGAAAATTATTGATCCACTTCTGCTAACGTGGTAACTACTCTGCTGTTTCCTCCCAACTTGATTTTTTTCCACTCCTTATATCTGTTGTATTTTTTTCGAACACGTGCGTAATTCCATACTTTCCTTCACTTTTATGTACATCCTGATTCACTAAATTATTTATCCCATTACTTAACTCTAACATCCTTATGAAACTCCTCCCCTCACGCACATTGATTGGTATTAATAGCTATGATTACGACAACTCTTCACTTTTGTTATTACCCTCTTCCTCGAGAAGTTGTAAATAAATATGACTGTGCAGCTAAAATAATATGAATTTGCTGAAAAGCGTCTTCTCTGAACTACTTGTCTTAATTTTTGCATTAATTAGCGTACTGTCATCATTTAAGTTTGAAGGGGAATATTCAGCATTTTATTTTAATCTAAAGTTAATCTAATCAGGAATTAATTCCAGTATGTCAAATACTGTTTTCTCAGAACACTTATAAGCATCTCCACGTTATGATACTTGTTTTTAATAAAAGTTATGATTGACATGTGAATTAAAAACAGAAAGATAGCTTAAAAATTGAGCTACCGAAAACCTCCATCATTGATGTGGTTGTGTTCTCTGAGCTGGATAGTTAATTTGCGAAGCTTTCATTGCCCTACTAGGTAACATCTTCAGCGCATACTTCAATTTGAAGTGAGCTTTTAGATTTCTCTACGAGTTTATTAGTCATCTTTCCTGGTGACCTTGGACGTGATTTGTTGTTTTTGTGTGTTTTCACACCTTCTAGGTTACTTGTATTGTAACTCATTGTTTCTTTGACTTGAACTTTGACCCTTTGTGTGTGAAGTTTCCTTCTTATCGGTTGGTAAATTTTGTCTATCCCGATGTGTCTATTGATTGACGATTCACTGGAATACCAGGCTTCTAAAAATTTTCTAGCATTTTTGGTGTTTCCTCTGTCTAATATTTGAACGTTGTCTCAGTCGAATTGATGTCCGTGGTTGTCTGTATGTAGTGATATGAGGGAGTGGATGTCATGTCTTTTGACGGCTAGCTTATGATCATGGATACGAAGACGAAGAGGACGTCCACTTTGGCCGATGTAGTGTTTTTCGCAGTTGTTACAATCTATTTTGTAGATGATGTTGGTTTTATCTTTTTTCGTTGTTGAGTCTTTTGGTTGACATAGAACTGAGTGAAGTGATTTTGTTGGTTTGTGTGCGACATCAATTCCTAAAGGTTCGAAAAGTGTTGTAGTGATTTCTGAGATGTCCTTTATATATGGTAGGGCGATTTTCTTTGTGCTTTCCTTGGAGGCCTTTGATTTGATAGGTTGGCTTGGGGGTATATGTCTTTTGATGAAATTCCGTGGATATCCATTCTTTTGGAAGGCGTCCATGAGATATCTTTCAATTTTCTTTAAGGTGGGAGTGCTGTAATGAGTCCTGGCCTTCCTGAATAGTGTTCGTATACAATTCCTTTTGTGTGTTATTGGATTGTTGCTGTTGTAATTCAGTACACAGACCAAATACTGCGATTGTCACATATTTAGTTATGTCCGTGGGTCTCAAATTGTACTTCTACCTCTTGTCTAATTGGCTTTCAACCAATGTTGTGCGTTTCTCGAAGGGGACAAAGGAAAAGTATCTTAAGAGATCGGTTTGCATTTCAGGTCAGACAACAGTGTGTCACGCGATCTATGGTCAATTACTATTTTACTTGAAGATCCTAGAGAAAGAATAAGTATTACGCAGTAAATTGTGCTGAAAATTCTGCAGATTATATGATCACTGTTCAGAATAAAGCCATTATTATTATTATTTAAATAAGGGAATCTGGTTAATTATAACCTTATCGATCTTATAATCTAATTGATTCATTTTGTTACTGTTTATTCACTGAGGATCTCCTGAGTCTTAGCTCAAAAACAGACAATCGTTGCCACTTTAGTGGCTTAAATTGTTCAGCAGTCTTCGTATTTTGTTTGTTTCCTGGGTGGAATTTTTCCTGCTGATAATCGGGTGACATTCATTCGTCGAATCAGCTAGCCAAAGAACTCCTATGGATGTTGTAAGGGATATTGGATACTAGGTGATTCCGCGGGATGAAACGTACTTGGGTATTTTAAAAACAAACAAATAGTTATTTCTTCCTCCTCAAATGTTTCATTTTATTTAACTAATCCAAGTGGTTATTTTAGTTTTCACCTCATCGTAACAATACCCAATATTCTTGATAAAATAGTAGGAATGTTGTGTACGGAACTTTTGCTGGTTATATTTGTTCAATGTAACTAGAAAATACCACCCAACAGTACCCTCAAAATAAATAGCTAAGGTTCTCCTATTCCAAGTCCACGAAAAGACTATCATGTGCACAGAACAGGCATTAATTAGTCTGTTTTCTTTACAGGTAAACAGCCTATAAGAGTTCCTGTCTTAATTTCTCGTAATGTTTCTCCTTCACCCATCTCCTCCTAAATACACTAGTCCCACTTTTTAACAGTCGAATCTCCTTCATAATGTACTATAAGTATTCTTTCTACCGAAATCTCGAACGTTTCAAGTGTCTTACGAGGTATTATTTAAACTTTTAATTAAAGAATTTAGTATTCGTCTGATCTATAATTGAAGTGAGGTGATATGAACTGCGAGTAGGTGAAAGCTCTTTTCATTAATTATTGTGTGGCTTGGGCAGTTAGCCTGAAGCCTCTGAACTCATGCTACAGTGGATATGATTCCATCCTAGCTAACACTTTACTGACCAAGATAGTGTTTCACTAACATTATATTTATATATATATATATATATATATATTAGTTTCTAAATATTGTATCACTGTGCGTTACATCAAGTAAACTTATCTATAAGAGTCATATTATCAATGCAGGTATGATGTTTATTATAATCTATCATAGTGTGATGTGAATATTGTTTAATTTTGGATTAATAATATAAGCTATGTATGTGTACTGTATAAACAGATACTTAAAATGCTTATGTATAATCTTAGAAAATAAGGTGTCTAACTTTCCATTATGGATAAGATTTTATTTTGATAAATCACACAGTGTTGTACAGTAATATTAACTGATGACGTTTTGAGCACAAACTATTGCTCATAATCATATCAAGTTACTCACACAACTTTTCCCTTCATTCATATACATGTGTGGAATTGACTAGATATTTGAATAAAAATCAAATGTGATAATGTACATTCAGAAATAATAATACGAGTGTTATTGATCAATTACAATTAGATGGGAAATAAGACGAGTGTTTTTATAGTCATAATAAGTTACTTGTTGGAATTTTCTATAGTTTGGTTTGTAAGGATTAATTATGTTTTACGAGTTGATCACGGACTGATATCAGTTAGAGAACCATTGAAAACCAGGGAGTACTGGACAGCTGCTGTTTCATCCTAGTTTGGGAATCATCGACATTGCGCACCCCCCACCAGGGTTCAAACCCAGGACCTTCCTGTTACAAGGCAAGCTCGTATACCATTCAGCCACAGGGACCCGTATTCAATGGCTCATGAATTCTAACTTCTACCAATTCGTGATTTTAGCGCAACCCCAACTATTGTCGTTGGTGGAAATCCATCCACACGTGACTTCTAATTGGACCTCACTGGTCACGACTTCTCACTAGAACTGCAGGAAGCTCCAACCTGTAGCAAGTCACTAGCGAGCATCAGAATAATTTTCTATAGTTTGGTTTGTAAGGGTTTGTTATGTTTTTACGAGTTGATCACGGACTGATATCAGTTAGAGAACCATTGAAAACCAGGGAGTACTGAACAGCTGCTGTTTCATCCTAGTTTGGGAATCATCGGCAGTACCCAGTGGGTAAAACTTGTTGGAATGTTTTGATACGTTTGAATTGAAATAGAAACACTCTTATTATTTCTGAATGTACATTATCTCATATTGAATTTTATTCCAATATCTAATCGACTCCACAAATGTATATAAATGAAGGAAAAAAGTTGTGTGAGTAGTGACTTGATATGATTATGAGCAATAGTTTATGCTCGAAACGTCATCAGTTAATTTTACTGTACAACACTGTGTGATTTATCAAAATAAAATCTTATCCATAATGGAGTTATGCTCTACCACAGTGCCCAAGTTTTATACTTATATCAATAGTGTCTAACTTTCTTACTAATGTAAACCATTGATCCTGATTACCTTTTGATGTATTCTAACCATCAGACTAAGCAACAAACAAGAACATACCGCATTGACCATTGCCTTAATATATATATATATATTACTAGTACAAAGAAATTATTTAATTTTTCTATCACCTTAGTACACAATCAACAGGTTGAGATTCAACTAGTTTCTGTGTCCTTACAGACTGAACTGATTTCATGGTTTAATTGTTCTGTACGTGCTGGAATGATGAACTAATTGCACTATATCTTGTATCATTCATGTTAATTGCCTTTAAAGCACTGAATGTATCTATGACTACAAAGTACTAAGCATGCATACTGAAATTTTCTTTGATAAATTGAACTAAGGTAATACTTTCTTGTCATCGGATTAAAGTATGTTCAACATTTACTGAGAATGATGCTTCTAGTAGTATACTACATAAACTACTTAGTAGAACATAATAAAACATGAATGTCATAACTATCAATACAGAATAAACAACATTTTTAAGGACAAAATGATATTTTCGTCTTAACAAATCCTCATCACCTGCATATAACCTAAATAAATATATAAACAATCATCATATAGATATAATTATAAATATAAATTTTTGCGGTAATCTACTATCTGCATTTACCAGTTTTACTTGTTCTTTTGAAGTAGAGTACATAGTCTCAAGTCTGTAAACGTATTTCAGAACATAATCTTGACTAGCTAGCGGAGATAAAACGAAGGTCAGTAGTTTTATTCTCAAGCATGTCGTCAACTCTGGAAATGAGGCACCTCTGCCTAACAGCTTCACGTTGATCTACAGAGTACCCTTATATCGCAGTAGACTTCGTATACTCAATCAATTTGCTATTAGCAGACATGTGGGTACAGATCAAATTTATCAGTCAATAATGAGTAAGCTACATGATCAAAAGATCAAATATACCAGGTCAGCGATAGGAGAATCTCCAGAGGTAACCAATCCCAGTTGTGATAATAAAGACGGTTATTTCATTCACAAACAATTCCGAAAGCTCGCTGTGTTTTGAAGTTAGTGCTGAAGATGTTGTCTGGAAGGATAATGAAGGCGTAGCAATTGACCAACCAGCTTAGAGGACTCCACAACGCAGAAAATATGCTGTCTATATGTAGCCGAATCACTAGCAACCAAGGTCTTTAAACCTAATATGTGTCCAGAAGTAATGCCTACGCTTACTCACCTTACCAAGACCAGAAAAATATTCCTACCATACTTTTGTTTTTATTTGTCGTCCTCATTTTTTTCTTTCTTCTGTTAATAAATTTACCGTTTTTCCCTCTTCTATGTTCATTTTTATTCGTTAAAGTTGGTTAGACTGTTCTCATATATTTTATGTAACACCGACCTCCGTTTTTTTAATATGCACGTATGCATTCCCCTCTAGATAATTCTTCACATTAAGTAAACCATCTTGTAGAACACAACTACCAGTATTTAACTGGTTCACAACGGATTCTCTGTTGAATATAAATACGATTGTACACCTCCTGATAATAATTTGTCATAAGTAAATTACCTTAGATCGGAAAATTCACTCTACAAACTGTATAATAAAGATATAACAGTGTCTTAGGAATTCAGTGACTATGACTAAGCAATTAGAAATCGAAGATTAACCACTAATTATCTTAGATAAACCCTCTAACATTGTTGGGCCTATTAGTTGGGAAAAAATGACTTATCTCAATCCTTTTTTTGTTCAAAAGATTTTTCTACAATTCATTTTGAAAATACTGCCAATATCTTTTCCACTTATATTTACGAATACAACAGCGAATTCGATATTGGTTTAATATATCAACCAGTCACCTTGGTAACTGGTTGTTGAATGCTGAACACTTTTGTTTCATTGTAACAGATTTGAAATATAATTATAAGATTTTTAATAGTTATATACTGTAGAAGCTGATTATTTTTAATAAAAGAAGTAGGCTTAGATACTATAGACACCAAAAGATGTACTACACAAAATCTTACAGTTTTTGCGAGGACTGGGATATTTCTCGGATGCCCAAACAGAAGCAGGTAGTTGTCTTAAGAGGCCATCGTCCCTTAAGTCTTTGACTTGAAGTTTGATCCACAAGGTAGCAGAGCAGTGTTCCCATGATGACCAAAACAGGTTTATACACCATTTGATCCGTTCGGATTCTGGAGCCCACGTACATGACATGATAGGTCTGGAATCGGGGTTTTCTAGCTCCTCTAGGTAAACTTTCATGTCTAGTGGTTGTGAGCGCCACACGTACGCATTTGCCCGTTCACTTCTGTGAGGAACACCTTTGCCGCGTGAAAGCAGTGGACAGGACTTACCTGGCAGAGACTATAAGCAGTAGTTTGGTGAGAGCTATCTGGTAGTCAAATTGGTAGATAGCAATTTACGTCAATGTTTACGTCTCAAATCTTGGTCATGAGAGAAAGACAAGAACAAAGAATAACTCAACAACCAATAACAGCAGACTTTGCGTGGGCGGATACGATTAGCAGATATATGGTCTGACCTTCAAAGAAACGGCCACAAAGAGATGACAGAATAACTTCCAGTGAGAAAAAGACCAATGAGAAGACTCTGTTTCCCTACTAATAATAACGAATAACAATGTACATAAAAATATATAAATATCTCTTGATTTTCTCAATAAACGATCTGTTGCCTAACCCTTGTCTTCTGTCGTTACAGTAGTATTAATATAATCGTGTAGACCGTCTTAATTACAAAACCTGGTATATATGTGCTTTTGGAACGTCTAATTTCTTATCTGAGTTAGGTTGATGAACCTCTGGGAATATTAGTCAAAGCCAAGTCGAACAGATTGAGTTCAAAAGAAAATTACTGGCGTATAACTTGTAACTTCACTGCACTGATAATAGGATATTCTTTAATCCATTATGAGAGTTCAAAATGTAACGGTACTTAAAGCTACATTATTACTCAGTTTACCGCATAAGACGAATAGTAAATACTGAATAATAACAATAGCAATTTATCAATCAATAGATTGTGAAGTTTATTATTATTATTCATTTAGTCGATTGTTAAATTATGAAATAAAAAGGATACAGAATCCCGTCTTTACAAGGTACATTCATACACACAAAAGCATAATTCAACACCGGTTTATATGCATCACCTACGATAAGGTTTCAAAAGAAGTTCAGAGAATTCTTTTACCGATTGTATTCCTCTTATTTCTTGTTCTAATTGTGGTAATTGTATAACATGCATATCTTCATATAGTTCTAAAATTTGTTCTAAATACTTTGATTGTATTCGATGACGTGCTAAACACATTCGACATGTAGTTGGCGGTTCATTTGATGAATTATTCTTTGATTCATGATCTGCATCACATGTTGACGATGATGATTTTAGATTTGGAAATAACAGTTGATTCACTATTACATTATGAACATCGATATCGTGTGCAGTAAGCTCCTAGAAATAAACGAAGTAAACTACGAAATTAAAGGTTGGTAAGAATCAGTATCAGTATCATGCCTGTAAAAATCCCACTATATGCAAACAGTAAATAGTGCATTTGCAATATAAAACATAAATACTATGATATAACTCATGTAATAGCCACCAGCCATGAACTGATAAAATAAGTCCTGAGTTATCAGTTGTTGAGTGAACTTAAACCCGTGTTTGCATTTTCGTTGAAATTCAACTTTAACACTTGTTGCTTCAAACGCCGCAACAGTATCTATTGTTTTTAATTAAATTTTAGATTTTCCCGTCGCTTGATTGGACCGAAGTGCTCGGTCTCAGGTTGACAGGTCGGCTTCTTGTGCAGATGCTTCGACGATGTCTGGGCATTTGTTAACCTGAGACCGAGCACTTCGGTCCAATCAATCGACGGGAAAATCTAAAATTCAATTAAATTAACATGACCCGTTGCACAAGAGGTGCCTGTCGTGGCCCAAGTGGTCTAGTGGATAACGCTTTGGCGTTTGAAACTATGGGCACTGGGTTCGAGCCTCGGTGGGAACATCATCACTCACTGGGAAATGCAGGTACATCCAGATAATGAGTTCCAAATAGGACGAAATGTGCATCCTGGATTTCACTGCTAGTCACCATCCACCAATTAAATAAGTATCTATTGTGTTGACCACATAACATAACTCTAGTTTAGTGGATGAGAGAAAAATCTGCAACTGTTAGGACTAGAATTTACTCGGTCGATGTTCCAGTTGGACAAGTCGAATATTGTTTCCCCTTATCGCAACAATCGGATTTTTAACACTAATGTCAAGTCAGTCAGTTCTTCGATATGGTCCTTAAATTTGACACGTCACTACAAGCATTTCGAACAGTCTGCTACAGGCTTCTGCCAACAGCTGTCTTCGCTCCATATTGAAGATTAGATGGCCAGAAACGAATAGCGACAAGGAACTCAAGCAACGAACTAACCAAGAACCTACTGACTGACAAATACACCGAAGAGGATGGAGATGAGTCGGACACACTCTGAAGAGACCTTTGAGTGACGTCACACGTCAGGTCCTCTGACGGAACCCCAATGGGAAAAGATGAGTTGGGCATGGGTATGACAGTAACATAGATGAGATGAAGGCTTATGCGCAGTCGTGGATTCAGCTAAATAGGACTGCAGAGAACAAAGTTAAATGGAGATGTGCTGTTGAAGCCTTATATTCTACTTGAAATCCAAGTGAATAATAATCATATCGCAACATTTCTGGATATGTAGTAAGAAATATTGGGTCATGGGCACTTTTCCATAAACCCATCACTAACCACTAAGAAACACTATACACTTACTGAATAACATTATAGGTTGATTAAAAAAACAAGAAATTTAAAAATCACTGCACCCTGAATTACAGTTAAAAGTTTTAGACGCAGAAATTATGCTATTCTGACTTACTTGAACTAAACGTTCTGTTTCATACATACTCAAAAATTCCGGAATGCATACACAGATGAATGTTGTCTGATCGGGATCTTTAAATTGTCTAGTTATTTCTTTAACAATAGGTAAGCGCGTTTCTAAAGCATTCGTTAAATCACCGCCTTGTGTACTATTCATTCCAACAAGACTCATCAATTGATTCAAAAATGGAGCAAACTAATTTTGAATAAGAGTGAACATGGAAAACAAATAAAATGAAAAAAGAGATTAGAACAAACGCAATCAGTTAGAACTTATATTAAAAAAAATAAGAAAAGGTCGAATGGGACCACAGGTAAGATGAAAAACCAGAACGCATTAAATGGCCTTGTGAGAGTGGAATTTGTACACATGACGATACAAATGGGAGTAGAATTGTAGTCAAAATTTGATGAACCTCTCTTACTTCACAGTAAGTATATCAAAGAAATTTTTCACAAAACTAAATACTACTAATCGATTGATATGAGTAGTTGTACACCACTCACATCAACCAGTACTGCTTTGCTAGCAAGATCGAAGTGATCTAGACACTGCATGATCATTTCGCTCGTTCGGGGCCAAGCTCATCAGCGGTGTGCGCGGTTCGACTCAGCCAAAAGAGCCGAACTGTCTAAACCACTCGATTTCTGGCTAGCTACTTCGGTGAACTGGTAATCCTATAAGTCGAATTCGCAGTTTGCAAACTAATTTAATTTTCTATAGTTTGCTTTGTAAGGGTTAGTTATGTTTTTACGAGTTGATCACGGATTGATATCAGTTAGAGAACCGTTGAAAACCAGCTGGGAGTACTAAATAGCTGTTTCATCCTAGTTTGGGAATCATCGGTAGTACGCACCCACTGAGGTTCGAACCCAGGACCTTCCAGTTACAAGGCAAGCTCAGCCGCTGGGACCCGATTCAATGACTCATGAATTCTAACCTCTACCAATTCGTTATTTAGCGCGACCCCAACCATTGTCGTTGGTGGGACATCCATCCACACACGTGACATCTAATTGGACCTCACTGGTCACGACTTCTCACTAGAACTGCAGGAAACTCCATCCTGTAGCAGGTCACTAGCGAGCATGAGATTGATTTTCTATAGTTTGGTTTGTAAGGGTTAGTTATGTTTTTACGATATCAATCCGTGATCAACTCGTAAAAACTAATTTCAGATGAAATTTCACCAGTTTCCTTTGGAAACCGAAACTATTTAGATCACAATATGTGATTTGCTTGATGCCAAAAATGGTAATCAAGAAAGCAAGAATTACTGCATAAAACTATTTACTACTACTGATTGATTGAGATGAGTAGTAGTTGTATACCACTCACACCAACCAGTAGTAAGCCTGAAAGTTCTAATGAACAGGAATAAACTGAAGAATCATTAGTAGATGACTGAATAAAATTGGGACCTATCAGAGCATATGCGTCACCTGACCAACTATACGATACCCGCTACCACTTCACCTCTGAATTGGTTTCCCCTTCTCAATGATACCAAAACTAAGCTGAACACAGAGGAACAACTTCTAGCTTGATGATTACTTCGCATCAGCCGCAAAATGAGAATAAATGGGGTCAGTATTAACTACGGTTGGAAAGAGTTCACAGAAGATTGCAATTAATTGTCTCATATGTTTGAGCACTCCGACTATTGACTGTTTCAAAAAATTGCACCACTGGAATATCTCCAGTTAAGTTTAAAAAGAAAGGTCCATTATTTATTACTGGGGAAGCATAGGTTACATTTATCTTAATGTGGCCTAGAATTGCAAATTGGAAAGACTGAATACATCTCCGCACATATTATCTCAAAACACCTGAAACTAGATGACAGGACTGTTTCCAGTCATGCTAAAGACGAAAAGCACACATTCTGTTTATTTCATCAAACGCTAATAATTCTCCTACAGTATGCATAAATTGATATTCTCATGTTCTGTTGGTTTTTAATAAAAATTCCTCAGAGTGAACATCGCTAATACATTCAAATGATTCCTAATGAGTAAAGGAATATTCCACTAACCACACAGGTAGCGTAACATGGTAAACGAGTGCACTTACAAGAATTTTTACCAATGGTCATTTTCGAGGATTTGATCTAGATTATTGAAAAGACAGTGAGATCAAGTAATGTATCCTATGTCAAACAGATGTGTCTATACACTGTTTGCTGGCGATTTAACCAATTGAGTGTTAATTAAAATATTGAGTAAATTTATTTTCGAATGCACACAAAAAAAATATTAGGACTTCTCACCTGATTTTTCATAGAAACTACTTTGCTAAGACTTTTTTCCATTGCCTCCGGAAATGCCAACAATCTTAGTGTATGACCTGTAGGAGCTGTGTCGAAAATCACAACTGAATAATCCATATTACGAACCAAACGAAACACTTCTGTATAAGACATGTATTCATCCACTCCAGGAAAGGATGTCATCAGATGAGCTATAGTCTTTCTTATGTCAGCAGAAACTGCTGCTTCTTCTGAACCAACAAGATCTTCTTCCAATTCTCCTAAGTTAACATTTGGATCTATCTCCATAGCGAAGAGGTTATCAAAACCCTAAGAAAAATATACACAATTATTGTTATGTACACTCAAAAAAGCCATATGAAACTAGAAAAATATCATCCTAAACTTTCACAAAATACCAATGAAAAATGTGCTGTAGAATTATGTTAATGGCTATCGAATACTGTTACTGGTACTGCAAAAATATTCTGTTTAAACTTAAGATGCTTATAGAAATGCCAGAAGAATTCAGTAAAGACTGTTCGACGCATAGAAAGATAATCAATGTAGTATCCTTCTGAGAACAAACTAGGATTTAACGACTAGTGATTACGATGGAACAGTCAGAATAAGTGGTAACCATCGGAACCACCTAAAAACTCGAATCTATTTTCTTCTGCATATTTGTTGGGCAACAGATTCTTAATTGGCTTGTTCCTACAGTTTCTTGTTGCTAATTCTTCCTGGCCGTTTGATCTTGATTATGGAGCCAAAGAGGATGGCTGTTGATAAAAGTCTGCAGTAGCCTGTTGGGAATACCTTTGGTGACGTATGAGCCAAGTCTCTGACACGTATAGAAGAACTGACTGAATTAACGCTGGCATTGAAAATCTGAATGCTGTTGTTTATTCTGAGTGCAAAAATTTTCCGAACAGATTTCAGGGTGATGAAGGTCTACCTTGCCTTTTCGATTCTCGTTTTGACATCCTCATCCGTGCCGTCCTCCTGTTGTTGAAACGACGACGTCTAGATAAATGAATGAAGTGACCTCTTTAAAAGTTATCCTGATAGTTATTGGCGCTTCTTGTTGTTGGTTGGATATTTTCATCACTTCCGTCTTCTCTATTTTCACTTGAAGTTTTGTCTTCACTGGCGGCTTCTTCAGCTAGTTTGTTGGTTTTCGTCTGTGTCTTCGAGTTTGTGTGATAATAGACATAAATCATCCACGAAGTTCATATCTCCTAGCGTCTTCTTATCGGTCCAACGTATCCCTGTCCTCTTGCTCCCTATAGAGACACATAATAAGCACCTGTTATTCTACAATGGTCACCTACAGTATGTACTTCATTCCCCCGACATGGATTAAACAACTGTATAAATTAAGAAATAAAAGCAGTCAGAAGGTCTATGTTCCCTAAGGAAAGATATCATTCGTTAGCTTACAAAGTTTTACAGCAAGGACTCCTAAAATCAAACTTAAATATATACCTTCAAATAATGCATTAAAACTCCAGCAAGATTGTAAATCCTAATCATTATCAATCAATTCGTTTAGTGACTCTTCAGAAATACATTGTGACTTATGAAACTCGAGACGAAAGTGCCAAAACAATGCTTTGTATCTTACCTTTACTTTAGTAGGATTTCTTGAAAATTTTTGGTCAAATGCATCTGACAAGTTATGAGCAGGATCAGTGCTTAAAATGAGGACTCGTTCACGCACCTTAGCCATTTGAACGGCAATGCTACAACTGCATGTAGTTTTACCAACTCCTCCTTTGCCTCCTACGAAAATCCAACGCAATGTATTTGAATCCAAAACGTTTTGTATAGTAGGTTCAGGTGTGTCCATTTTGAAGCTGGAGTAAAATTACTGAATCAATAAAAAAAACGAACCCATGAAAAGTATAACGATTTCACTTCTAAAATTTTTATAAATGGTACACAAAAAGCTAAACCTGTAAGGTTATGAAAAAAGTAACTCAATCTTTTAAAAGCTATTTGATCGTCTCCAGCAGCCGGTTTACAGACAAGAGTCTGGAAAGTTTCGAAGTCAGGACAGTACAGAAAGTACGGCTTAAGCACACAACAAGAAATTCAATTAGATAATGATAAAGAACCAACAGAATATACATCCAACAAAAGTATTAATATTTGGTGATTCATTTGTTGAAAACATAATTTCAATGAAGCACAAACACAATATTTACAAAATGACGTAAGACGAATACAGAACTAAAATAAACCCGGAAAATTCCCCTTAACTCAAAATTAAAAGACAAGAAAATTGCAGCATGATCCTAATTTATTTCTAGGCAAATCTGATAGCTTTTTAAACCAGTGGATATGTGCTACAATTAATGATTTCTCATTCCGGGATAATTCAAGTTTTATACTAAATTTCTATTTTGACAGATGAACTTGACATAAGTGTACATCAACTCAATCTGCTGCAACCCATCAACATATTAGAAGAAACTCGACAATATCAAGGATAGGTAGAAATGGTACAAGCACTCGCGAAACAATATATCAAAATATCGAAAAAATCGCAGTAAAGTATGTATGTGGCTCATTGGCTTAAGCACCCAATTTCCAATCAATGGTCTGGGGATTCTGGCTCTACCTATTTCAGCCCTCACATAATAAGTGTGACTCATAGGCTGGTATATGGAAAATCTGATCCGGATAACTGAGTTTTAACTACCTAGGGGTAGTTAAACTAAAACATGGCATAAGTCCATGAAGTGTGTGATGGTTGGTTTGAGCCACGTAGGGAGGTGCACACAGATTATAGTTGGGGTTGTCGGGATGCTTAGAACCAGTTGTTAGAGACTATTAATGAAGCTCAAAACCGTCCTCGATGGCACACGTGCACTCACTCTTTGTGACCATTCATACTAGCCAAACCACCATGTTTTCCCATGTTATTCTTTCTTTCTCACATTTCTCCTCACTATAGTTCCTTTGAGTCTTTTTTCTCTCTTTTGTCTACCTTGTATGCTACATGGGGCGCGGTAACTTGGACTGCTGCACTTCTGTGCAAAGTTCTATGTCGAAACTCAGTCAGTCAGTCAGACCCATCTTAAATAACGTCTCCCAGCTGGCGCTAACCGCCAGTCAATCAAGAAATAAGGGTATAATGTGAAAGTGTAGGTATTGCTTCGTCGTGTAGCTATGAGATATAGTAATTGGTGGTGAATGTTGAATGGTAACTTGTATCACTGTTACACCAAATAAACTTATCTCATGTGGAAATTTTAAGGCAGATATAATGACGGCTACCAAAAAATAACAGAAACGTGGCACGAACTCAAGTATCATTACAGAAGCAGTCGTAGTCCTGCATAAAAGCATGTCTTCAGTAAATGGTGACAGTCTGATATACTTGAGTGACAGGTAGGATAATAATGGCTGTGTCGAAAGTTAACTCTTACTTGAAATAGATTATCTGTGCACAGCGGCAGAAGACAACCCCGAGTACCTGACTTGCAACCATATAGTCCTAACTAACTACCCGAACAACCTTTCTCTGAGCCTTAAAGCAAACACTTCCACGTATACATGAAACCTACATTCGAGCTGATTGATGATAAGCCAGTTCGCCAGACGCATAGCTACCAACTCACAACAGCAATTGTTTGTTTTATCATTTTTGGGTAATCATCTGTTCCTGGCCACTACTAATCATCACAAAGAGGGGCATTGATAGCTATGGGTGTCACCATGATCAAATCCCATATCTCCGGAAATGATTTTCCACTAATGCAGAGCCGCGTTGATCTAGGGTACGCAGATGACTCCTAATCCAAGGGCTGACCACTTGATTTATTTGGAGTGGGGTCAACCGTAATGGAATGGTTGGTGAAGACATCTCAGCACGTGTCAGTAGGGACAAAAATCTCATTTATACATGTGTAAATACACTTTTCATTTCCCATAATGTATTGAATGAAGGTGTAAAACCAGAGCAAATAAGTCTCACACCCCTTACGTACACACAGTAGTCCTTGTCTTGTTTTGCTTCTTCTAGCTGCCGTAGCGACTGTACTATGTACTACCATCCATTTAACTCCAAAAAGACTCACTGGTCGAACCAATATACTTTATTTATTGATGAGTAACAGTACAAGTTTCAGTCGGACAAAATTGAGTAAATCCTGGTTAAATAGTAATTTAAATGGGCAGATTTTGGCAAGTGGTAAATTAGTGAGGAAAACCACTATGATTGGACAATCTCATACAAACATACAATTCTGGCTAAACAGTGGTAAAATATTGATTAAATAATGACCACACTGTTGAAATATTTTGGTCAGACAATGGAAAAATTCCTCTCATAAAGCCGAATTTGCCTATTTTCTCACTATGCGGAATGTGTGCGGTGATACTTTAACTCGCCAAAAATTCAATTAAAAAATCTCAAACTTATATGAATATATTTTTAACAAAATATTTGCATTCTTTGATGTCTTACTAGCCTAGAAAAAGGCGTGAAGTCAAATAATCAATACGTCAACAATGTTTTGTAGAGAGCGCTCAAATTGCCAAGGTCATCTAACTGTAGTTTGCTGGCCAGTTACCTCACCGACGTCTTAAAGTTTTGTTTCTGATCTTCCTTATCACTCAACTTTAATGTGAGGATAATCTATAGCAGCCATTAAACGACTTTGTGCGTCGGTGGACGCTGACCATGCACATGGTCTGGGGTTCGACCTCTGGCCGACGCACAGATGATGCCAATGGTCGGCCTGCTAAATTCGGGCTTCCGATATCATATGCTGAAAATTCTATACTTGTACCAAAATACTGTGTGGAATCAGGGTATAATAAAAATAAATAAATAAGAACATACTATGTAGCTAGTTCTGAATGCAGTGTAAGCTTTATCTCAAGAATTTTTGACTTATTTGCTTTTGGTTAGATTAAAGTTAGGGTGAGATTAGGGTTGTGTGTTTACAGTAAGGCCAAGTTTAGCGAAAATGGTTGGACTAGGGTCGTGATTTGGAATTAAGTTTTTGATTAGGGTCATGATTTAGGTTTATGATAAGGGTTTGGTTTAATTGTCATACTTAACACCCTACAAATCTGAACATACGGTTTGTTAACAGACTCCGTGGTTTTTCTTTCCTCTATTAGGACTGTTTGTTCAAAGTCGTCTGGTGGCTACTATGGTTTATTTTCACCCAGTATCGTGCTGAATGATGGACGGAGGACGCTGATCCTCCTTGTAAGTTTCTTCCACAATGGGCCAACTGCTAAAGAAGCAGATGAAGGCAAATCAGGGGCAAATGTTAATTTTTTCCTTTGCCATCCCTTGCAATTCTTTCTTTCGCTCTCGAACTCACACTACTCACCACTAGTATGTGGTATGAATTTATATTTGTTACTTCATAACCGTAACTCTTTGTTTGCTATTGAAGTTCAACTTACTTAACATATTGATACTCTCTTTGACATGCGGTGGTTATTTTCTTATATTTGGACATTGTCTGCCGTATGTGCGTTATATATATGTATACTTTTTGTGAAAATGAGGACAAAGCCAATCACAAGGTGTTTCCGCGCATAGCATAGCATATGTCACAGCAGATATTCTAGCAGCGTAGAAAAGCAAATAGAACTCTCTTAAGGTAGCCAAACATAACATCGGATATGATTACAGAATTCCCCTGGGCCCGTAATACAAAATCAACCACCTTAGGAAATTCAGACCACATTTGACTGCCTCTGTCTTCCTATATAAATATACTGAAACGAAAGCGGGCAAGTTTCATTTGCGATAGCACATATCCCCACCCTTGCCTTCTGCACAGCTTTTCTGTTTTTCTCACTGGCGCATAGTGTCTCTGCATTCGACGGCATCCATTTACAGACACCTCTGGCTGGATTTCATGACACCAAGCACTACTGCTTTTGTCGAAGGATTAGTGTTTGCCTGAAGTTCTGTGCTGCTGACGATATTTCTCCATCAGCTGCAGTTAGTGAACTCATCAAGAGTTCTTTGAAGTGATCAGCCACTCTTTCCATTGTTCCTCATCTTTAGTAATTAGGTACCCTCGAAGGGCCTCTACAACAGCATGCCATGGCCACTCAGATGTAGTAAGTGCTGGAAGAACTCAAAAGAATGGAATAAGTAGCCAGGTAGGAACTACATATTGTTTATGATTTGTGGAGCTGTCTTCACCTGTTGAATGATTAATGCCCTTCCAAGTGTTTGACTAGGTATGCCCCTCTCCACTTACCCTCCAGCATGCACTCTAGCATAAGGGTTTGAAAACACAGTTAGTCTTCTGCAATACTATGGGCTGTTGGTCGGTAATTCGAGTAAATATCTTGGCGCAGAGCCAGTTTCTAAATTGCGGATGCATTTCGCCTTCTGTTTTCTACAATAGGTGACTGTAATCTATACATTCCTGCTTTTTAGTTGCTTCTCGGAATTCTCGTTAGCACCCCTTAGTCTAACTATTTTTATTCAGTGTAATGTCTGATTTGTCGAGCATGGAAACTGGCCTCAAAAATAATTTCTTCAGAGGTGAACTGTGTTGCAACTCCTATACTTAAGTTACCTGAATTTGATCGACGTGACCTGGAACTACGGTTTGCACAACAAGAGTACTTTGACCTTTATAGCATTAAGTCTGAAACCACCAGGAATATAGATGTGTGTTCTCAGTTACCTTATGAGACCGGCAAGGAGGTGTGGGGCCTGAAGCTTCTTATTCGCCCCCGAAACAAGGAGCCACATAGTGTTTGAGCGCGAAGTGATTAAGCGCCCATGTCTGAAAATCAGCGTACACAAGATTTGCCTCAGAGGCAGAAAGTGGGAAATAAATACCCACCGCAATTCTCGCTCCACCTGCAACAGCTCGTAGGGGCAACATAGTGAGGTAGGCTGTGCTGAAGCAATGTTAAACGCAGGCCCTCTCAAAGTACATGCTACAGGCACTGAATGCATAAGATCTGGACTCTTCTCTTGAACAGTTAGCACCCATCACTGACAGAATGTTGGATTGAAGACGACTTATAGAGGGTCCATATGATTATAAATGAGGACTCACTTATCTCAGAACTAGTAGCCAGCGTTAGATCACTGGCGGAACAACTAACATAAATACAGCTAACACGGGGCAGACAAGGTAGATCACGCAGTACAGCATGTTCCAGGTCAAAGAGTAGACCCATAAAAACTAGATCAACTGGTAAATTCTGTTTGTGTCACTGGAGGTTTGGCGCACAGTCAACAAAAATGTGCACGACCATGTGTCTGATCTCAAATATCGCACAAGCAACAGGGAAACGATTAAATTCTCCTGAGGTAGTGACTACCGAAAGGAGGTGCCCGGGCAGTCAGCTATTCTATACCAAGGATAAAAATATCTGGTTGATATAGAAACTAAACTCGGTATCGTACTAGGAGCAGGGGCCAAACCGCGACGAAAATATTCCCAGTCACGCTGTAGGCCGCCCATAAAAACTAGACCGCGTCATTTGGGCAGCATGAACTAACCATTTAGCCAGAGTTTTAGAGACAGATTAATAATAATAATACCTTTATTGCAATCGGTACTTTTAGAACAGATACGGAATTTTCAGTGTGCAATGCGGTATTGCATTAAACTTTCTCGTCACAGAGGCGATGACCAGAATAGAGCATTTATACTAATAATATTGTTCAGTGAAAACATGAATATGAAGTTAAGTTAAAATATTGACAAAAGCGTATCAGCAGAAAAAATAGAGTCGCTCACACAGACTTCCGCAGTAAGTTGGTAGTGTCATACCTCACACTTACCTCATCACAGAAAATGTATGCCAAGTAAGGTATCACAGAGTCTTGTAGTCGTCCGAGCATAAATTCTTCTACGGTCGCTCCTAGTTCTCCACGATGAGATGCAAGGAGAGAGTTATGTATAAAGAGGATACTGAGATGAAATTCGCCAACTTTTCGTGTGTCCACATGCCTATCTACAAATGTATTAACAAGCTGGTGTAGCGGTACCCTACCCACCCTACTGACAGCCCTCAGTGACCTTCGCAGCATAACAAATTCTTCCTTCAATAGCCCGGGAAATATTAAGAGGGAACTGCAAAAAAGGATAAGCAGAATACAAGAAGTGACAAAATTGGAAAGAAGAGAATGAATGATACCAGATTATGTCAACTTCCTTACGTAGAAGGTGAGACGAAATATGATTTTGAAACTAACATGGTGTGTGAAGACCAAGAAAAATCAAAGGAAGTACACAGTGTGGCGTATCTAACCCTCGACTTCGTTTTAATTATCATGATGCAAGGCAGCATTGGCACCTAAAGTATACCTACCATGTCTAGAAACGAATTGTCTAGGGTCAATAAAAGCCTATGAAAGAGGCTGAAGGTTAAGTTAAGGCAGTTTTTCTATCATTTTAAGAAACGGCGAGACATTAGCAGCAGGTTTTAACTCAATATATGATCTGTCTTCCTTACTGATCCTGGCTTTGATAGCTCCACCCATGCTATTGAGGCAATGCAGGTTGTTGCTGATCTGAGCTTGTCGTTGTTAACAAGATCATTCATCGCCTTTCCTTTTTCGGTGTTCACCTGTAGTCCTATCATCTCTTCCACCTTAACAAGGAGATTTGGGCTTATTGGTTGCATGACATAGGTACTATCGTTGGAAAATGGTGTAAGCGAGGGTGTAATTATATACTCAATAAATGGCTTTACTGTGCTACCTGTCAAAGTCTATCTAGGTTTAGGGCATGAAGCTGGAACCCCAGAAATCATTAGGGCAATGGCTGTGGAAGGCTTACAGTATTACCGGCCTCCAACAATGCATCCTTAAGCCACAACCTTGATATTTTTTGCATCGCGCACGATCTGTACCAGACCTCACTTGGAATACAGGATCCAGGCAGCCAGTTTAGGTCTCAAATGGGCAGAAAGCTGACAGACCAACGCCAAAGCCCTCAAAAAGGTGGCGTTTTAATGTACCAAGTGCATTTCTAATGCTGTATCAGCAGGTGAGGAGTGACCCTACATTATTATTCCGTACCATACTTAATGACTGAAGTTCTAATTCATCCCGCTCATGTCTTCTCCCTAAAACCCATCACATCAGAGTACAGTACCTTAGATCACAAGACTTTGGCCTAATCATCGACGTCCGGGGCCTCTTTCTTTCAACAAATAGCGAACCATTCAAGTTCTCAGTCAGGGAATGTTGTTTCTACACCTGCTAAGTTATAAGATGCACGACTGAACCTCCACTGGTCAGCACCCTATCCTGAATATTTTGTAAACTGTGAACATAGTCCAGCAAATATGCGGTCGTTTGGCATGTCAAGCAAACATACATAGACATGACTGTCAGAATCGTATTAAGTAAATAAAATCGACTTAAATAAGCACAACATTTCGCAAATCTATACAGTCACATTGTAAAAGACCTGGCTGTCGGTAGTGTCATCGTGCTTTAAATTGTGGCGTGAAAAGTTTCGAAAAGCCCTTGACCTTCGAAAGCGCAGCAAGTACTAACATTTGTCTTACTTACACACAAGTAGCAGCCTTAGCCAT